CCAGGCGGAGACCCCCCCCGGCCTGCCGGGTGCCCCCACTCCCCGCTACCAGGACCTGCTGCAGCTCCTCACCCAACCTGAAATGGGACTCCTGGACCAGTACTGCCAGGGCTACTGGCGGCACACGGCCGCCAGCCCCCCCCAGCCGCTGGCTGGCCTCAAAGCCAAGGAGCAGCAGGACCAGAAGAAGCCTCGAAACCGTCGGAATCACCAGCCAGAGACCTACGGGCATACATGAAACCGTCATCAGGGACTTTGCTAGCACAGTGGTCTATTTTTCCCCCCTTTTAATATTAAAAATATCTATAAATAAATATATATATATATATATATACATCCACGCACACACGCACGCAGACACACGTGCTCCCCCCTCCCATGGGAGACGGTATTTATTTGTAGGTTGTACATAGTCACTGGGGTGATGTGACCTCCGCCTCCTGGCCCCGTGGAAGAGTGGGGACCCCCAGGGTGGCCGCAGCCAGCTTTGCTGTCTTCCCCCCCTCCCCATCCCAGCACCCCAGGTTCCTAGCATGCGGGGACTGTTGAGCACCGTGACCACTGTCTCCCTGCAGCTGGGGCATGGCACGGTGCCGGAGGTGCCGGGTCCCGGTGTGGGAGGGGGAGATGCCCTGGGGAGGGAGACAAACACCAGCCAGGGGGGGATGAGAGGTGGGGAGAGGCAGCACTGGACAAGGTCTGCCCCACAAAAGCTGGGCACAGCCTTCACATCTTCGTGCCTCAGTTTCCCCACCTGAGTATTGAGAAGCAAGTGCTTGCTGTGAGGAAGCTACAGGCCACTAGGCAAGCCTAGGAGGGAGCTGTGGGGCCAGGGTATGTGGCCCCATCCCCTCCTGGGGGGCTTGGTGGAGGGGAGACAGGACCCTCAAGACAGGACCCGGTTATCCAGGCCACAGTGGGTGGGGGCTTGGCTGGAGTCTTTGGGTGAGGAAAGGAAGGAGAAAGGGCCAAGTTGGGGTAAAACCTTGAGCAGCCGCCAGTGTTCACTGGCACCAGTACCCAGGGGCATTTGGGGCACCCAGCCCATCAGCTGCCCCCTTGGGGCACCCCGATGGGCTTGGGGGGGTTGTGAATAGTTGTACATGGGAAGCACAGGGGTGGTTGGGGCCCAGCAAGTGCCCCCCGCTGCAGGCCGGGACACCCCCCAAATAAACACTGGCTTTGGGACAGACGTGGGCGCCTGCGTGTGCTCTGTCAGGGATAGGGAGCGGAGAGCCGGGGGCTGCTGCCTGGCCCCCGTCACGTAATCCCTTTAACTCTGCCCCTGAGCCCTGCTGGGGGTGTGGAGGGCTGGGCTGGAGCCAGGAGGGGAGCGGAGGGGGCCCTGGGGCTGCACTGGGAAGCCAGGGGCACTGGATGGCATTAAGGGGTGCTGGGGGGTTGGGTACCAGGCAGGATGGGGGGTCATGGGGAGATGACAGTACTGGGCGGTACTGCTTGGGTGTTATGGGTACGCTGGGGGCATACACTGGGCTGGGCTAGCGGCCAGGACTGGGTGTTACTGAAGGCACTGGGAGTACTCAGTATCAGTACTGGGGGAAGTACTGGAGCACTAGGATTTGGTGCTGGGAGCCAGTACTTGGTGGTACTGGGGGTGTGAGGCAGGAGGGGACGCTACAGGGGACACTGGGGGTGACAGTGGGCAATACTGGACTATACTGCTGGTACTTCGGTCGGTAGAGGGGGCAAAGGGGGTGGTACTGGGCTCCTCTGGGCAGTCCTGGGAGGCACTGGGGTCAGTGCTAGCAGGTCCCGGGCTATACTGGGAGCAGTCCTGGGGACACTGGGGGCAGCACAGGCCTGTACTGGGGGCTGTGCAGGCCTGTACTGGGGGCGGTGCAGGCCTGTACTGGGAGAGGCGCAGGCCTGTACTGGGGGCGGCTCAGGCCTGTACTGGGAGCCGTGCAGGCCTGTACTGGGAGCAGTGCCTGTACTGGGAGCAGTGCCTGTACTGGGAGCGGTGCAGGCCTGTACTGGGAGCAGTGCCTGTACTGGGAGCAGTGCAGGCCTGTACTGGGAGCGGCGCAGGCCTGTACTGGGGGCTGTGCAGGCCTGTACTGGGGGCGGTGCAGGCCTGTACTGGGAGCAGTGCCTGTACTGGGAGCGGTGCAGGCCTGTACTGGGGGCGGTGCAGGCCTGTACTGGGGGCTGTGCAGGCCTGTACTGGGAGCGGTGCAGGCCTGTACTGGGAGCAGTGCCTGTACTGGGAGCAGTGCAGGCCTGTACTGGGGGCGGTGCAGGCCTGTACTGGGAGCAGTGCCTGTACTGGGAGCAGTGCAGGCCTGTACTGGGAGCGGCGCAGGCCTGTACTGGGGGCGGTGCAGGCCTGTACTGGGAGCAGTGCCTGTACTGGGAGCGGTGCAGGCCTGTACTGGGGGCGGTGCAGGCCTGTACTGGGAGCGGTGCAGGCCTGTACTGGGAGGAGTGCCTGTACTGGGGGCGGTGCAGGCCTGTACTGGGAGCAGTGCCTGTACTGGGGGCGGTGCAGGCCTGTACTGGGAGCAGTGCCTGTACTGGGGGCGGTTCAGGCCTGTACTGGGGGCGGTGCAGGCCTGTACTGGGAGCGGTGCAGGCCTGTACTGGGAGCGGTGCAGGCCTGTACTGGGGGCTGTGCAGGCCTGTACTGGGAGCGGTGCAGGCCTGTACTGGGGGCTGTGCAGGCCTGTACTGGGAGCCGAGCAGGCCTGTACTGGGAGCGGTGCAGGCCTGTACTGGGGGCGGTGCAGGCCTGTACTGGGAGCGTTGCCTGTACTGGGGGCTGTGCAGGCCTGTACTGTGAGCGGTGCCTGTACTGGGAGCGGTGCAGGCCTGTACTGGGAGCGGTGCAGGCCTGTACTGGGGGCGGTGCAGGCCTGTACTGGGAGCGTTGCCTGTACTGGGGGCTGTGCAGGCCTGTACTGTGAGCGGTGCCTGTACTGGGAGCGGTGCAGGCCTGTACTGGGAGCGGTGCAGGCCTGTACTGGGAGCGTTGCCTGTACTGGGGGCGGTGCAGGCCTGTACTGGGAGCGTTGCCTGTACTGGGAGCGGTGCAGGCCTGTACTGGGAGCGTTGCCTGTACTGGGGGCGGTGCAGGCCTGTACTGGGAGCGGTGCAGGCCTGTACTGGGGGCTGTGCAGGCCTGTACTGGGAGCGGTGCAGGCCTGTACTGGGGGCGGTGCAGGCCTGTACTGGGAGCGTTGCCTGTACTGGGAGCGGTGCAGGCCTGTACTGGGAGCGTTGCCTGTACTGGGGGCGGTGCAGGCCTGTACTGGGGGCTGTGCAGGCCTGTACTGGGAGCCGAGCAGGCCTGTACTGGGAGCGGTGCAGGCCTGTACTGGGGGCGGTGCAGGCCTGTACTGGGAGCGTTGCCTGTACTGGGGGCTGTGCAGGCCTGTACTGTGAGCGGTGCCTGTACTGGGAGCGGTGCAGGCCTGTACTGGGAGCGGTGCAGGCCTGTACTGGGGGCGGTGCAGGCCTGTACTGGGAGCGTTGCCTGTACTGGGGGCTGTGCAGGCCTGTACTGTGAGCGGTGCCTGTACTGGGAGCGGTGCAGGCCTGTACTGGGAGCGGTGCAGGCCTGTACTGGGAGCGTTGCCTGTACTGGGGGCGGTGCAGGCCTGTACTGGGAGCGTTGCCTGTACTGGGAGCGGTGCAGGCCTGTACTGGGAGCGTTGCCTGTACTGGGGGCGGTGCAGGCCTGTACTGGGAGCGGTGCAGGCCTGTACTGGCGACGCTGGGCTGGGTCCTTTCGCCCCCTGGCGGCCGAGCGCGGCGCTGCAGGAGCCCCGCGGCGCGGGGCGGCACTGGGGACATGGCGGGGGGGGCACTGGGGACATGGCGGGGGGGGCACTGGGGACATCGGGGGGGGCCGGGCCAGGAGGGCGCTGGGCTCCGCTGGGGACATCGGGAGGAGTACTGGCAGGGCCTGTGGGCATTGGCGGCGGGGGCATGGGGACACAGAGGGGTTACTGGGGTGTCCCTGGGGACAGTAAGTCTTACTGGGGTGGCCACAATGGCAATGGGAGGCGCTGGGGACATGGAATGGGGAAACTGGTGGCCTAAGCACACTGGGGAGGGGTGCCGAGGGGCCTGGGGACATGGGGGGGATCACTGCGGTTGGTGTGGGAGCACAGGGGTGGCACAGGGGTGTGCCTAGATGTTGGGCAGGGTTTTGGGAGGGACCCTGTCCTGAAGACACTGGGGGAGCACTGGGATTGCTTGGGGACACCAGGGCGATATTGGGGCTTCTCCTTAGGTTACTGGGGAGGGTCTTGGGGACTCTGGGGAGGGTACTCAGGCATCCCAGAGGACATTGTGAAGGTGTTGCTGGAGGAGCCTGGGGACACTGGCAGGCTGCTGGTGGGTGGATGGGGATGATGCTAGGCTGGCCTGGTGACACTGGCATGTACTGGTGGGTGGCTGAGGACACTAAAGAGTCCACCTGAGGGGTCTGGGGCCATTGGTGGAAAGTCTGGGAGGGGTCCTGGGGACACAGGGCTGGCATTCTATCACTGAGGGGGGGTGTGTGCCCCTGGGGACACTGGGCACAGGGATCTGGGGACACTGCGATGGCTTACTGGGGGGGCTGTGGGCACTGGTCCGGGGGGTGGGGTGGGTAGGATGACCAGCATGAACTGGGGACAATGGGGACATTTCCACCCACTGTCCCCAGCTGCTGCCAGACCCCAGCAGAGCCCCCCAGCTCCAAACCTCCCTGGGGTCCCAGCAGAACCGGAGCAGAGTGGGGATCCCATGTCCCTGGGGGTGGCCGGGTCACTGCCCCAGCCCCAGGGCAGGGGCAAAGCAGGGGGGGCTGTCCGGCTTTGGGCCCCCCCGGCAGAAGCGCTGACACCAGGAGCTGCGGGATTGCTGAGCTCAGCCCGCTGCAGATTTAAGGGGGTTTATCCAGGAAGGGCGGGGGGGCCCTGGCTTAAGCCGTGGGTGCTGAGCACAGCACCCCACTGGGTGGCCCCCTGGGTCCTTGGCCCTGTCCTTGCCCCACATTGGGTGGGCGGTGGCGGCAGTGGTGGTGGCGGCAGCGGGGCAGTCGGCGGCCGGCACGGCGGGTGCAGGGAAGCAAGGGTTGGAGGCGGCGGGGGGCTGGAACTCGCTGCCCATCCTGGTGCTGACCTCCAAGGAACGGGTGAGCCGCAGGGCTGCGGGGCAGAGGATGGGGGCCGGGGCCAGCGCTGAGGAGAAGCATTCCCGCGAGCTGGAGAAAAAGCTCAAGGAGGACGCTGAGAAGGATGCCAGGACCGTCAAGCTCCTGCTGCTGGGTATGGGGAGGTGATGGTGGGGGGGGTGGAACACCTTGGGGCAGATACCCATCCTTTGTGCACCTCACCCAAACAGCCCACCCAACATCCCTCTGACATTTCCTTGCACCCCTCAACCTAACCAACCCATCCCAACAGCCCCCCCACCCCAAACCCAACTAGCCCATCCAACCTTCCCCTGGCCCCCCAGAAACACCCCCTAAACCCAAGCAGCCTACCCCAAAAACACCCTCATTCCCAGGCAGCCCTAAACCCAACCCCACCGCCTCAACAGGCTACCCAATATTTCCCTGATGCCTCCAGCACCCCTAAGCCCAACCAGCCCACCCCAAGAGTGCCCCTCAACAGCCTTCCACTCCCAAACACCCCTTAAATCAACCAACCCACCACAACTGCCCACCCAAAGTTTTTCTGACACCCCCCCCTAAACCCAACCAGCCCAGCCCAACAGTTCACCCAAGAACTCCCTGCTCCTAAGCACCCCTAAACCCAACCAGCTCACCCTAACAGCCCCCTAACATTTCCCTCTTCCCTCCCTGGCACTCCTAAACCCAACAAGCCCATGCCAATCGCCTCCAATTCCCAGCCTCCCCTAAACCAGCTCATCTCAACAGCTTGCTCAACAGCCTCCCACCCCTGCCAGGCACCCCAAAACCAGCAACTCATCTCAACAGCTCACCTTAAGATCCTCCACCTTCCCAGTATCCCCAAACCCAACCAGCCCACCCAACATGTCCCCACTCCCAGCCCCCCTCAACCCCAACCAACCCATCTCAAGACCCTTCACCAAGACCACCTACCAGCACTCCACTCCGACAGCAGCACCCCCCACCACCCCCCTCATTCTCCTAGGCACCCCCATGCAGCCCATCCCACCACCCCTGTGTCTGTCCCTGCAGTTCCCCAGCACTGAGGGTCCCTCCCAGTCCCTTCCAGCTGCCCCAGTGGTGCCCAAGGACTGGAGTGCCCTGGAGGTGGTGGGGCCATGGGTGGCATCACTGCCCTCCCAGCCCAGCCCAGGGCACGTCCTCCTACACCGCCACAGGTTTGGGGCATAGGGTGGTGGGTGGTGAGGTTACGACGCCACCGTGTCCCCAATCCCTCCTTTGGGTGCCTGAGCACATCCCCAGCTGAGCCGCCACAGATCCCATTAGCCACAGCGGCTCAGCCCAACCTTAATGCCTGCTGGCACCAGGCTGTAATCCCCCTGCCCTGCCCCATGGACCTGGCACGGCCACCAATGTCCCCCAGCCGTGCCAGGCACTGGGGGTCCCAGGGGGACAGTGGGGTGCAGCCGGGGGTGTCCGTGGTGCGGGCACTGCCATGACCCATGCTTTGTCCCTGCAGGAGCAGGAGAGTCGGGGAAGAGCACCATCGTCAAGCAGATGAAGTAAGTGCCAAAGGGTGCCACTTGGACATGCCCCGCTGTGCCTCACGCCTGCCCCACGGTGCCCCTGGCCCCCCATGCCCAGCTCTGCCCCACACCACAGCCATGGGGGGCAACCACCCCTTAGTGCCTGGCTCAACCCCACGGCGCCCAGCTTGATCCCATGCTGCACCCACGGGTGCCCTCCACGCCACTGCACCCACCTCAGCCCCATGCCGCACCCACGGGTGACCCCCACCCCACGGTGCCCAGCTAAGCCCCATGCCCCCTTCCCCGGCCAGGATTATCCACAAGGATGGTTACTCGCTGGAGGAATGCCTGGAGTTCATCGTCATCATCTACAGCAACACTCTCCAGTCCATGCTGGCCATCGTGAGGGCCATGACCACCCTCAACATCCAGTACGGGGACTCAGCTCGCCAGGTGAGGAGCACCCCACACTGAGCAGGGGAGGTCCCCCCAGCCCCCTTGCCCTGCTGAGCTCCTCTCCCTCGTAGGACGATGCCCGCAAGCTGCTGCACCTCGCGGACACCATCGAGGAGGGCACCATGCCCAAGGAGATGTCAGACATCATCGGGCGGCTCTGGAAGGACACAGGCATTCAAGCCTGCTTCGACCGTGCCTCCGAGTACCAGCTCAACGACTCAGCTGGCTAGTATGTGGGGTGGGGAGGGGCTGGGTTGGTGGGGGGGTGTCTAGGGGCGCTGAGCCATGTCTCATGCTCACCGTGTGCCTGGCCAGCTACCTGTCAGACCTGGAGCGTCTGGTGACCCCCGGCTACGTCCCCACGGAGCAGGACGTGCTGCGCTCCCGTGTCAAGACCACCGGCATCATCGAGACCCAGTTCTCCTTCAAAGACCTGAACTTCAGGTGGGGGCTGAGCCCCTGGTGAGGGCTGGTGCCAGGGGGGAGAGGAAGGGGTGGGGGGTGCTGACCCCCCGCCTTGTTCTGCCCAGGATGTTCGATGTGGGTGGTCAGCGCTCGGAGCGGAAGAAGTGGATCCACTGCTTCGAGGGGGTGACCTGCATCATCTTCATCGCGGCCCTCAGCGCCTACGACATGGTCCTGGTGGAGGATGACGAAGTGGTAAGGAAGGCTCAGCACCCCATACCCGCTCTGCTGTGTCACAAGGTGGGGGGTGAGGGGAGGGGGGGGTCGCCATGGGTTTGACGGGGCTGTGTCCCTCCGCAGAACCGCATGCACGAGAGCCTGCACCTCTTCAATAGCATCTGCAACCACCGCTACTTCGCCACCACCTCCATCGTCCTCTTCCTCAACAAGAAGGACGTCTTCCTGGAGAAGATCAAGAAGGCCCATCTCAGCATCTGCTTCCCCGACTATGATGGTGAGGGTGGCTGCGGCTCTCCCACGGGGTGCGGGCGGGGGGTGGTGGTGAAGGTTTGGGTGCCAGCACCCTGCAGCAGCCACCCACCAGGTGTCCTCAGCACCCCACGCAAGTGACGCTGGACTGGCCTTGCTTGTGGACCAAGCAAAGTTTGCCCACTCGGGGGAGCGCTGGGTGACGCTGGGCCAGCACCCATGGGCAGGGTTGGCGGGGATGGGGCGGGGGGAAACACACACCAGCCCTGGAGAGGACCCCGCTCACTGCCACGTCACCAGGTCCCAACACCTACGACGACGCGGGCAACTACATCAAGCTGCAGTTCTTGGAGCTGAACATGCGGCGGGACGTGAAGGAGATCTACTCCCACATGACCTGCGCTACCGATACCGAGAACGTCAAGTTCGTCTTCGACGCCGTCACCGACATCATCATCAAGGAGAATCTCAAGGACTGCGGGCTCTTCTGAGCCCCAGCCCCAGTGCCCCCTCCCCAGCCCGGGCCTCCTCCTCCCCTGGGGCCCAGCCCCACCACTGCCCCCACACACACACCCCACCCCCGCACCTCTGTAACCATCTCCACTTGCCCCAAACCCCTGGGATTTGACCTGCTCAGCCCCAGAGCCACCCCTGGGTGGGGGGGCACGCTCCTGCTTCTCCGCCCCACCAGCTCTCCCACCGGCCAGCGCTGTGGGACACCCAGTGCCACTGGGTCCTGGGGGTCCCTGGGGGCTCCAGGTGCTGGGAACCACTGGGTGATCCTGGGTGCTGAAGGGTGCTGGATCCTCTTGGATGCTGCAGGGCGCTGAGGGTCCTTGGGTACCCCTTGGAGCTGGGGGGTGCGGGGAGGGTCCATGAGTGCTGAGGGCCCCTGGGTACCCCTTGGAGCTGGGGGGTACTGGGGGGTCCTGGGTGTCCCTGGGTACCCCTTGAAGGTGACGGGTACTGAGGATCCCCTCAGTACTCTTTGGAGAGTCCTGGGGGTCTCTGAGTTCCTTTTGGAGCTGGGAGGTGCTGGGGGGCTCTCCAGGAACTTCTTGGAGTTGAGGGGTGCTGGCTGTCCCCAGATGACCCTTGGTGCTGGGGCATCTGGGGGGGTCTTTGGGTGCCCCTTGATGCTGGGATGACCTTGGGGTGCTGCAAGGTATTGGAGGTTCCTGGTACCCCTTGGAGCTGAGGGGTATTGGGGGGGTTCCCTTGGGTGATAGGGGACCCTGGGTACCCTTTGGAGCTGGAGGGTACTGGAGGATCCCTTGGGTGCTGCAGGGTGATGAGAGTTCCTGGGTGCCCCTTGGAGCTGGGGGATGCTGGAGGTCCCTGGGCGCCCTTTGGAACTGAGGGATGCTGGGGTCCCTTGGGTGCCGAGTGTCCATGGGTGTCTCCAGGACCCCCTTGGAGCTGGGGACTGCTGGGAGTCCCTTGGGTGTTACAGGGTGCTGGGTGCCCCTGGGTGCCCCTGGAGCTGGGGGTCCCTGTGGGCTGCTGGGTGTAAGGGGTGCTAGATCTCTGTCGGGGCCACATGTGACTGGGTAGCCCTGGGCACAGGGTGTCCCCGAGGACTGTGTGGTACTGTGGTCCCCTGGGTGCCACCATCCCCCTGATGCAGGGCCAGGGGGGTGGTCATTGCCCCTCCCCAGCAGCACCCCCAGCTACTGAGCCAGCACCCCTGGGGGGGGATGGCTTAGACCCCCAGCAACATCCCAGCTCTCCCCCCAAGGGTCCCACTGCTGCTCTCACCTCCCACACCCAGGGGATGCTGCTGAGCCCTGGGGTGATGCCAGCCCACCCGTGCCCCTCTCCCACCCCCAGGGACTCCCCTAGCCCTCCCACAGAGGTGAAGCACCCATGCCCACCCCCGGGTCACACGGGGGTGGGGGGTAGTATATATACTTTTTTTCTCTCTCTCTCTTTTTTTTTTTTTTTTTTTTTTTTTTTTTCCTTTCTACATTTTATTATTTCAAACAATGTGAACAATTCGGTAAAACATCCTGTGGGAAAAGCGAGGCCGCGGGCACCGGCTGAGGGGGCCCCCCCAGGCTGGGGGGGGGACAGCGGGGGCCACTCTGTACAGCACGCTCTCCTCGCCCAACGCAACAGCTAGCCCTACAAAACTAGGTTTAGAAAGGAGGGGGGGGGGAATACAGGCAGCAGGCAGCACCCCCCTGCCTGCCCTCCTGCCCAGCCACTGCCTGCTGGGGGCTGCCCATCCCTCTGGGCGATGGGGTGGGGGGCAGCAAGGTGGGGTGAGGCACGGACCCCCCCCAAGGCACACGGTTGGGGGGTGGGCTGGCCACAGAGGACGCCGCCACCATGTAGCACTTGACGCTTTTAAATAGTTTGGTAAAAAGTTTTCTTTAAAAAGCAACCTCGCCCCAGCCAGTGTGGTGTGGTGTGGTTTTTTTTTGCATGGTTTTGGGGTTTGGTTTGGTTTGGTTTTTTTTTTTTTTTTTCTTTCTTTCTTTCTTTTCTGGTTTACTAAAAGGAATGTCATCGGTCGTGCTTTTGGCCGGGTGGGCATCCCCGAGGGGACCCCCACGTCCCCCCCGTGCCAGTAACACTTGCAATGTAAACAGTGAGAGCGCCAGGGCTCAGGAGCAGATGAAGAGGGGGGCTGGAGCGGTTCAGGGGTTAAAAACCAAGATTAAAACCTTGTTTTCTCCAGGAAGGGTGACGCCGGCGAGGAGAATGGTGGGGGGCGAGCGTGGGTGGCAGGGGGGACAAGGGCCCTGCCACCGTGCTGGCACCCAAAAAGTCTCTTTATGGAGTGGGGGCAGAGGGATGAATCTGAAGAGAAGCAGGAGTGGGGGGGTGGCGCGGTCCTTCCTTCGCCAGCACAGCCAGGGGTCCTAGGAGAGAGCGGGTGGTGAGTGGGGGGGTCAGGGGAGGGGGGCATGGGCACCCACCGCCAGCCTGTGCCACAGCGGGGACAGCCCTCTGTCCCCGGAGGAGGCTCCGTGGCCACCCCATCTGGGGGGCCACCACTGCGACCACCACCCACCTGGGCAGCGCCGGCTCTCAGAAGAGCCCGCAGTCCTTCAGGTTGTTTTTGATGATGACGTCAGTGACGGCATCAAAGACAAACTGCACGTTCTTGGTGTCGGTGGCGCAGGTGAAGTGGGTGTAGATCTCCTTGGTGTCCTTCCGCTTGTTCAGGTCCTCAAACTTGCTCTGGATGTAGCTGGCCGCCTCGTCGTACTTGTTGGCCCCTGGGGAGGAGGAGACGCTGGGCTGCCCCACGGCCGGTGGGGCCACCGGCACCCCCCCCCCCCCCCCCCGGAGGGGTTTGGGCTCGGCTTGGCTCCCCACGCCACCGCAGCCACTTCCCCGATGCCAAACTGATGCTCCCCAGGCACAGTGAGCTTCAACTAAACCCCGCCAGGGCTGCTGCACCTTGTGTGTCGTGTCCCACCCCCCCCATCTTCCCCATCCCCTGGGGCACCCCGAACACCACCGCACCCCACTTGCTGCCCCAACACACTGCTCCCCGGGCACAGGCGAGCCACCATCTCCATCCCCAGCATCTCCTGCTACACTGCCCGGGCAAGGCACTGCCCCCACCTCCTGCCAGGGGGACCGGGGGGGGCACCGAGGGTCCCGGCGATACCTGTGTACTCAGGGAAGCAGATGGTGAGGGGGCTGTGCACGATCTTCTCCTCGAAGAGATCCTTCTTGTTGAGGAAGAGGATGATGGACGTGTCCGTGAACCACTTGTTGTTGCAGATGCTGTCGAACAGCTTCATGCTCTCGTGCATCCGGTTCTGGCGGGGGAGATGGCAGCCCAAGCTGAGCAGGGACCCCCAGGCAGCGCCCGCCCCTCTGCTGCCCCCCCCCACTCCTGCCTGCCTGGGCAGGGCACCCTGGGGGCCCTGCAAGGCTTGGGCCACGCTGGCCAGGGCACTGGTGGCCACCAGAGGAGGGGGTGCTCCCCCAGCCCCCCAAGGAGGGGACAGCTCACGTTGCTGGCTCCGTCCCCGCCAACTCACCATCTCCTCATCTTCAGCCAGCACCAGGTCGTAGGCACTCAGAGCCACGCAGAAAATGATGGCCGTCACCCCCTCGAAGCAGTGGATCCACTTCTTCCGCTCCGAGCGCTGGCCACCCACGTCAAACATCCTGCGGCAGCGAGGCAGCGAGGCGATGGGCAGCAGCTCCCAGCCCCATCACTCTCACCCCACTCCCTGCCTCAGTTTCCCCAGCTACCCAGAGCAGTGCTGGAAAAAGGCACCAGGGCAAGCAGAGCGCTGCACTTCTGCCCCAGGGATTTTGCCAGCGCCGCAGATCTGCCCTGACACCGGCTGCCCAACCCAGGGACAGGGCGGTATCCGGGATCATTTCCCAGCCAGAGCAAATCCCCACGGTGAGCCGGGCAGGATCAGGCCGCCTCTCCCAGGGGAAGTCAGCGTGATGCTCCCTGGAGCCGAGCTCCAGGAGGTGCTCTCGGAGCCCCGGTGCGGGGTTCTGCCGCAGGCCTCGGGCCTCGGGGAGCTGCCGGTGCTGAGCCGGGCGGCCGCGGGCTCGGCGGGCAGCGCGACGGCTCCGGGGATGAGCCCGGTGCACCGGGTGCCTCTCCCGCTGCGGGCAGCAGAGGATGCCCTGCCTCCGCGGGGAAGAGCCCGGCTGCCACGTCCACGGGCCCTGCTGACACGCGACCAAGAGCCTCCACCCCACCGGGGTGGCACAGGGGTCCCTGTGAGCCCCCCGCACGCAGAGGGGACCCCAGCAGATCTTTCTGCCAGCAGCTCCGTTGCCAGGTGACTAAACCACCCCCCGGAGATGTGTTCGATGCTGGCTTTCTGCCTTGGGGGAACCAGAGCCCTGACTATTTCCCGTGGGTTTTCAGTGGGAAGCAACCCCGGGGTGCCAGCGGGCAGCAGCACCCGTGTCTGACCCCGAGACCCCCAGCTCCCGCCCAGCACCCCTCCCGCGGCGGAAGCAGCGTCACGGCACCGGAGGATGCCTTCCCCCTTCCCCTCCTCGCCAGAGGCTGGATCCGCCCCTGGGCTGAGCCCTGCGAGGCGTTTTTGAGGCTGCTCCAGCTATTTCAGCGGTTTCCGCTCTCTCCGAGGCGGCAACTCCCGCCATAAGCAAACCCAGAGGGAGGCTCAGTGCATGCAGCGTGCAAGCAAGATCCAGCCCGGCCTGGGGAGGAAGGCGTTGGGGGTTTTTTGCCTTGGAAAAGGCAAAAGGGGAAGGGTTGGACGTACTTGAAGTGCAGGTCCTTGAAGGTGAAGTGGGTCTCTACGATGCCGGTGGTCTTCACCCTGGTGCGCAGCACGTCCTGCTGGGTGGGGATGTAGTCGGCACGGGCTATCCTCTCCAGGTCGTTCAGGTAGCTGGGGATGGAGCAGAAAGGCTCTGTGGAAGCAAGGCACAACCCACCCTGCATCCCACGGGGCATCCCCGCACCACCTCAGGGTCCCCCACCCACGCCCCAGCATCATCCATCCAGGGAGGGCAGCGCCGAGCCAGGCAGCACAGCCAACCCCATCCGCACCCCGGGGTCACCCCGCAGGGCAGGACAGCCAGCTGCCGGGGTGGGCAAGGGGACGCAGGGGGAGGGCTTGGGGGGCAGCGTGCCGGCACTGGGGGCTAGGCAGGGGATGCAGCCGGAGCTGGGGGGCTCCCCCCCGCCCCCATTTCCCCAGCCCGTTTGCATGGGGGAAATGGCAAGAGGAAAGTATTCACTGCTATGGCAACCGGCCGCAGCGCCGGCGGAAACAATCGATGGCGCCGTGCCATTTATAGTCAAAAAACACAAAGGGCCGGCGTCCTGGGAGGAAGCAGGAGGTGGGCAGCCGGAGGGATGGGGAGCAGCATGGCCGGGCGGGGCTGCTGCCTGCCCCGAGCCCCCCAGGGTGGCATCGCCTGCCCTCCTGCCTGCCCGGCCCCACCAGACCTCAGCTCCCGGCAGCGGTGGTGGCTCGGTCCCCAAACAGCCACCGAGACCGACCGAGGGATGCCGGGGGGATGAAGATGGGTTTCGATTTCTCCAGCTCACATTGCTTTAATTGGGTTATTATAAACAGGCTTCTTTAAGCAAAGTAGGCTTGCATTAATTAAGGCTTTTGCAGCCCCGTAATCTGCTGAAAACCAGATTACAGCTCGCGAGGCCATGGGGATCCCCGGCTCCGACGGCAGCGCAGGCGCTTGCCAGATCCCAGGAAGCCCTCCAGCATGCCGGGGCAAAACCGGAGCTGTGGGTGCCCCGGGACCCTGCCCCGGGTGTGAGGGCGGGGGGGGGCCAGCACACCACCGCCGCGGAGCAGCTCGAAAACAGCCGGAAACACACGCGGCCTCCGGCTGACAAAAAAACAGGAAACACTGCAGCAGGGCCATGCGCAGCACCGGCAGCACTCGGACCTTCTGCCCAGTCCCGGGGTGCTGGCAAGCGCCTGCCCTGGCACCCCGAGCTCCTGGCACCCCAAGGGGCTGAGGAGGAGGCTGGGGGCTGCTGCAGAGGGCTGGGGTGCAGGTGGGCTGCGTGCCGGGCATGGCATGGGGCTCCTCATCCCCAGGGTGCCCTGTGCTGGCAGCACCGTGGGCACAGCATCATCCCCGCGGGGATGGCCGGGGCATCGACTACCGCACCGCCATCTCCACGGGGCTGGAGAAAGGCTGGAGCAACAGCTTGAGGGGGCTCCTAATTAACGCTTGTTCAACCCCCGCAATGTGCCGAACGCTCCACAAACGCATTCCATTTGCAGATATATTTGCTCGAACTGTGCGTGCGAGCTGCCAGGCACCTGCTGGGTCTCCCGTGCCTCCGAACCAGCACCCACGGCCCAGCGCAGCACTGCCTGGGAAATGCCGGCGCTGGCTGGGGAGCGATGGGGCTGGGGAGGGCGGGTGGGTGCTGGGCAGGAGGAAGCGAAAGCCGCAGACTCCGGAAGAAAGCGCTGGCAGGAGCTTCTCCGGGGTCAGCACTTGCCAAGAGCTTTCCAGCATCCTCTTCCTCCCAGGGACCTCAGTCCAGAAGAGGGACCTGCTGGTGCCAAGCGGGAGCGGACGGCTGGGCTGACAGGCAGGGGGACCAAGCAGCCCCCAGGCTGGTGGCAAGTCCCAAGGGTGCTCAATTCCCGACGATGCCAGCCTCGGCAGGGTTTTCCTAGCACACCATGAGCTCCCCCTGGCCCTATTTTACCATGAGGGGTCCGGGCAGAGAAGGCAGGAGGGCATCGTGTGAGCTGAGCGCAGCCTTGGCTGCACCACTCTCTCCAGCAATCATACTTTAGGCAGATTAACTTATTTATTAAATCTCTTCAGGGATAAACCCAACCAGATGCAGGCAATTTATCTACCTAAACACCAGTTTGCTGGCTAATATGGCAGCGTAATGCCAAGTCCTTCCATATAAACTCATTTAAAAAGAAAAAGAAAACCCTCTTGTGCAGCCTGTTCGTCCCATTCAGATGTAAAAGGGTCCCCAGTGCTTTTTTGGGGGCTTTCCCTTGCCTTCGTGGCCCATGCCCATGGGCATGGGCAGGACCCCTGGCTGTGCTCACACAGGGGGGCCATCTCAGGATGCAGAGGCCAGAGAAGAGCATCCCTGGGGAATGGCAGTGGGCACGGAGTGGCAGCTGGAGGGGGATGCCCCCGTGCCCCCGCTCCCGGGGGACGTAGCACCCTACCAGAGGAGGAAACAGCTTTCGAAACATCCACCTTCCCAGTTCTGCTCGGGCTCAGCCCCAGCGCCGGGCGAGAAGTGGCAGCACCAGCCCCCAAGCCTGGCAATGGGGAACAGCAGCCCCCGGTGGGGATTTTCTGTTGCTCAATAAAAGCGAGGTGCCCCGCAGAGCTTGGACCCAGCCAAGCTGGGGAAGGGGAGCAGGGGTACTCACTAGGCCGCGGAGTCGTTCAGCTGGTACTCTCGGGAGCGGTTAAAACAAGCCTGGACCCCGTTGTCAGCCCACAGCCTCCGGATCACGTTGGCCAGGTCCTCCGGCATGATGCCCTGCTCCTCAGCGGTGCAGGAGAGTGCAAACAGCTGCCGAGCATCATCCTGCAGGGGAAAAACAGGCATCAAGCATCGGCACGGGACTACCGAGGCTCGCTCTGCCCCAAAGGACCTGACCGGAGCCCACCAGGTCCCACCCGGACAGCAGGGCAGGAGCTCCAGGGGCGAGACCCAAGGCAAGCAGCAGGACCCCCACCCCTGCCCCCATCAGGGACCATGCCAGCGCAGGTCACCCACAGGTTATGTTTTGGGTCCTCTCATCCTCAGAGCCAGGGACAGGAGGTCACAGCCAGCCAGGGAGCAGCAGGGCTTGGGCAGGGCCACCCTTAATACTGGTCCAGCTTTGGGCACATCTGCTTTTGTCGCCCCCCAAGAACCCCAACCCCTGCCAGGCGCAGCAGGAGGGCACCCACCGCTCTGGAGGAGTCGCCAAAGTCAATCTGCAGGTTCCCCATCGCCTTGATGATGGCCATGATGGACTGGATGGTGTTGCTGTAGACCACGGCTTTGTACTGCCGGCACTCCTCCTCTGAGTAGCCATCCTCATGGATGATCCTGGGGCAGGGGAGAGACACAGGTCAGCCCTTTGCGGGGCACCCTGGGGTGCTGCCCCCCACCCACGCTCTGCAGCAACACTGAGGGGGAGCTTTCCTCGGCCGCCACCGTTTTTAGAGCCCGTGGCCAAGGTCTGTGTGGTGTTGGCCACAGTGACAGTGTGGGGACCACTCACTTCATCTGTTTGACAATGGTGCTCTTCCCAGATTCACCGGCACCTGCAGAGAAACGAGAAAGAGGGACAAGCAGTGAGGTGCTGCCTGAAGCCAGGGACCCCCACTCTACTGGGACCCCCCCAGACCAGGGAGGGAGGGCAACGGGTGCCTCAGCCATCAGAGAAGACCTGCCAGAGTTGACCAGAGCAGATGCTTGGACAGGCACCAGGAATGTCAGGGCCAAGAAAAGGGGAATAAAAGGCGAGCCCGGGGGGAACCCTGCAATAGGTCCAGAGTGGAGAAACGACACTTGCTCTGGGCCAGGAAAGTGGCATCAGTGCACTAATGTTTGGGCTGCAGCATGCCAGGACTGCCAGGGAGATGACTGGCAGCCCTGGCTTTGGCCAAGCTCGGGAGTGGGGAGCCCCCTGCGATGGGGGGGGCTAAGCCCTGCCTATCACCCCCCCATCTCCAGCTACAGGCAGAGCCTGAGCTTAGCGGCTTCACCCGTGGTCCCCGTCCCTATTGCGCTGGGGGACGGTGGAGCACCAGCCCCGCCACGTGCCCAGGGCTGGAGCCGGCAGTGGCCAGGACGCAGAGATGCCCGTGCCACCAGGCACGGGCAGGGAGCCGGGCACCCGAAGCCGAGCGCCCCGGGGAACTCGGGATGAAGCTGCCGCCTCCACCAGCCGGCTCGGGCGGCTCCCGGCGGGATCAGCCGCCCCCGAGTTGCTTTTTAAATAGCGCGCACTTTCCAGCCTGCCGGGTCCTGTGCCCCAGCCCGGCAGCGGAGGCGGCTGCCAGCAGGGAAAGCTGATGGCTTTTGGGCTGGGTTTATTTTTCAGCATCCAAACACAGGATGCCAGGGGCTCAAAGGGGACGGCCAGGGAACCTAAGGGTCCCCTTCCGTCACCCGGTTCCTCTTGGGGATGTCACCCCCCCTGCAGGCAACGTGCAGCTCCAGGCCTAGCCCTCCCTCCCCGGGCTGGGAGCCGGGAAGGAGCAAAGTCGCTCCGGCTGCAAGAAAGGGGAAGCTCAAAGGGGAAGCTGAAAAGGATGGCGTGTGTCCCTTGTCCCCTCTCCGGGCAGGGAGTGCCACCAAGATGGAAGTGCCTGGCTCACCTCGCCCCAGGACCCCCAGCAGGATGAATCCCCTTCAGCCGGGGACCAGCACGGTCCCTGCCTCTGGGTGAAAATCCCAAGGGATCCCCCCAAGCCAAGACCATTCCTGTGTCCTCTCCCAGCCCCCTCAGCAGGTCCCCCCACTGCTGCCCTCAGCCATGGAGCTGCCCTTACGGGGGGCCCCAAGTAGGCAGTGGCAGGGCTGCCCCAGCACGGCCGCAGAGGGGAAGAGAGATTACAGAGGAGGGTTTTTTTTTATTTCAAAAAAAAAAAAAAAAAAGATTATGCTAAAATTAACTGGGAAAAACAGAGCCTGTCATGCCAGATGAGACATGGCAGCAGGGAGCAAATGCATTCTGCCCGTGCCCATGCCACTGGCATAAATGCAGCCCAAGCGACGGGCACATACCCCACAGAGATCACCGCGGGCACTGCTCGGGGCATGGAGCCCCCCCGAGGCTGGGGTCATACTGACGCTATACAGACCCTCTATTTATTGCCACGACCACCTCGCTGCACGGTTTCCCTGCTGCGGGTGCTGAGGGAGAGGCTTTGCTCAGCCCAGCGGCGAGCATTCGGCACGGCGGGGGCTCGCCGGCGCCCTCGGGATGCTGACACGGCACCCGGCGCAGCCCGGCCGCTGTTCGTGGTCAGCGCTGGCAACTCCTGCCCGGAGCTGGGAGCAGCTTGGGGAAGGACTCGGCATATCCCTTCATTTTTTCCATTAAATACCTCTGGTTTCTGAGAAGGCCTCCCCGTACCGCCGGGCTCGGCAGCCAGGGCCGGCTGCATTCACCGTGCCCTTCCCCGACGGGTGCTCGGACAGGGAAACCGAGGCACGTGGCAAGGGAGGACCCTGCTTATAAACATCCCTGGAGGGAGGTGCCAGACAGTCATCCCCCAGCCTCCTGCTCTGCCTGACATTTGCCCCCCTGCCCGGGAAGGAACAGCCCCCCCGGGACCTCCTGCCTGCTCCTGGCAGGGCGACAGTCGCCCGCAGTCACCGACGCCGGCCATTTCCCTCACCAACTTCCCCCCGCAGCTCCTGGCTCCTTCCCCGCAGGAGGCAACTGTGCTGTTGCCCCCCACCCCGTTTCAAACCAGCACCCCCGCTCACCCAGCACGAGAGCCCGCACGCTTGCAGCAAGCAGAAATTCAAGCCTGAAGCAATAACACCCCGCCGCGTGCCTCCAATTTCCCTTTCCAATCATCGCCTTTGCCTAACGAAGGACCCAGGTAATTGCTGGGGAAGCTGCGTGCCTCCCCCCGCCGTGCCACCCCCAGCATCTGCCAGGGCCTGATGGGCACCCCAGCACCCACAACTCCCACCCAGCTGAGGAGGGGGTGGGACCCTTCCCGGCCCCCCCAGGCGAGCACAGCGGAGAGGAAGGGTTTCCAATCCCCGGAAAACATCGGCTGCCGTCCATTCAGCCCCAAAACAATCCCCAGGCAGGCTGCCAGCTGCCGGCTTCCACCCTCCTGCCCAAACCAGGCAGGAGGCAGGCAGCGCCCGAGGGGCTTCGCATCCTTCAGACCCCCTCACCAGCCAGGAATTGGGAGCGGGGGGATGGAGAGAAGCCCCCCACCATGGGCCGACCCCATTTCCTCCAGTCCTGCCTGCTCCCTGTCCACCCCTCCTGCCTGCCAGGACTGGGCAGTGTTTATTCCCAAAGCAGCGCCTGTCAAAAATAGGAGGAGAGCTCTGTCTCAGGCTGATTTCCCCCTTTTTTTGTTAAAAATAATCTTCAAAAATTTAAAATAAGCAAGCAGCTTCCCGGCTCCAAAACTCCCCATTAATCCACCAGTAAAAAATTTATTTAGCCAACATATACTTTGCAGCCTGCAATTTAAGATGCTTTCTGGGCAAGATATATTTAATGCAATATATTTCTGCATATATCTAACGCCATACATTTAAGCAACTGGTCACAGGTTCCAGGGTCCACCTCACCCCACATCACCAAGAGGGGATTTTCCATCTTGCCGCATGGCACCATCCTGTTTAACGCCCTCAAATATCCAGGCGTGGATGGAAGCAATGCACAGCTGGAAAATTTTCCTTATTATAGGAGAAAAGCTGGAATTCAATCCGCCAGCAGGTCCGGAGCCATCCCCATCCCCAGCACCCAGAGCCCCATCCCCAGCCACTGTGCCAGCAAGTTTTCCTGGCCTGGCAAACAACAGCTATTATTTAAGCAGGGATTTACCGATGGTTTTTACTGCCAGACAAACCTGCTGATCCCCTTCCCTGCAGGACAGACAGATGGCTGGACAGAGGGATAGCTGCAGAGACCACCCCTCTTGGCACCTGTGGAGTCTCTGCCATCAAACGGGACTTTCAAAGGTGTGCGTTAAAAGCAGAGTTAACCTAAAGACTCAAAAAATAATAAGATTCCCCTCGACATTTTCCTTCCTTCCCAAAATAGATGGAAAATTGCTGTAAAAATAATCGCTTTTTTTTTTTTTTTTTTTTAAAAACCCCACAGCGACACAGGGCGTTTTTCCCAGGGGCCGTCCCATTCCGGCACAAGGCTGGCCACTTCCCAGGAGGAGCCTGCGCATCGGCGGCTGGTGGGATGCCACGTCCCCAGGCAGGACCCCAAAAAACTGGGGGGGCACCGGGGAGGCACAGACCCCGCTGCCCAAGGCGGCCAATAGCGATGCAGCAAAAAAGAAACCCACAAAAAGAAATGAAATAGAAATAAATCAGCAGCAGGAAGGACGTTTGAAGCACACAGGGGAGGAGGTGGGCTGGGGATGGTTTCCCAGGGGGAGCACTGAAACGCACCCCCAGTGCCGACAAGGCCCGCTGGTGTTTGCAAGCTGGACAAAACTATCCTTGTGCCGGGCTTTTTCCAGGAATGCCAGAACTCTGCTGCTCTGTTTCTGCCCCTGCCATAACGGGTCTCTGCCCCTCGCCCCCAACATCGGCTGTGCCGGCACCGGGGCGGTGGGCGAAGAGCCCCCACACGGCTCAGCAGCGAGCTGTCCCCTCCTCCCAGACACATCTGAGGTCATCGGCAACAATTTTGGGCCTCAGCCCTAAAAAAGGGAGTTCCTGAAGACCGTCACCCACCGCACCCACCCCAGCCGCTCCGGGCATGGGGACACCACGATGCTCCCCACGTTCCCCCCCAAAACACCCGGAGCGGCTCCGGTGCAGCCTGCGCCGGAGAGCTGCCGGCACCGCGCCCGTGGGCCTGGGTGCCACCGTCCCCTCCGTCCCGCCCCGACAGGGTGGGGGCTCACCCGGGATGCCGCCGGCACCCTGCTCCCCCCCGCCTGGGTTTTCCGCCAGCGGGGATGGAGCATTACTCAGCTCCCCCAGCTCCGGTGATTCAGCCGGCCTCCGGCCCGGAGCAGGAAACCCGGCGGCTGCGGAGAGCCCGGGCCAGCCCCGGCTACCGTGCTCGGGCACACCGCGATCCCGACCCCGGCACCTGCCAGCACCCACAGCCCTGGGCCAGCTCAGCACACAGGAGACCTCCTTCTGTACAGCTACGTATATAGGTAAAGCTATATATATATATATATACATATGCTTTTTAATATATATAAAAATCAATTTATATATTGTTCCATACAAAAGAGCAATATATATATACAAAAAAGCAATATATATATTTAAATGCATAAAATATACTTCTAGTGCATATATTAAAAAAATATATAAAACATACATATAAGCCTGCTGCCTCTCCTGGGCAAAGCCTAAGCACCCATCTCAAAGCAGAGGGCAGCTGCCTGCACCCGGGATGTCACCAGCAGGGACATCGGGGTGACCAAGGCCTGGGTGACGGGCTCCTTCCTCCCATCCCATCCCGAGCCTGGCCACCAGCTGTGGGGGGTTGGATGTGGGATCCCCCCCAGATCTAACAGTGCCGAGCTCTTCCCCGCTCCCCCGCCACCGCAACGCCTCCCCATCTGTGGCCAGAAACACCACTGGGGTCCCATCAGTGTCCCCTCCAAAGCAGGGACCCGATCCCCTCCCATCACCCTGGGCTGGGGCCGGAGGGAGGATAAAAACAAAACCCCAAGACAGGACAAAATGCAGCAAAATGGGCGGCTCGTACACAAGCCCAGGGTAGCATCGGGGCAACACAGCCTCCGAAAGTCGCAGCTGGTCCCTCCCTTCCTCTATTTTTATGCAAGCCCTGAAAAAAAGTATAAATCTACCGAGCCCTGCCCTGGCCGCCCTTGCCCCGGCTACCGGCTCACCCAGGCAGGATCTTGTCCAGGCAGCTGCCTGCATCACCCACCCCGGGTGGGGTGTGAGGGGAGCATCCTCGCCCCAGGGTTTGCACCCCCCAGCACTGAAAACTGCTGGGGATCGACACGATCAATGTACCAGCGCCTTCCCCCAGCCTGGGCACCTTCACAGCCTCTAACGCCTCCCGAAAGGCCGGGAAATCCTTTTGCTTTCCTAATCCTCCAAAGGAAGATCAGGAATGAGGAGCTTGGAACGTGGGGACCGCTCGCCTGCTGCTGATCCTGCACCCCCCCCCCCGAGCATCCCAGCTCCCGCGGGCAGGGAGGTGGGCTGGGCAAAACCCGACTTCCACCACGGCCGGTGGCACCAGCAGTTTGAGCCCTGGCGATGCCGAGGAGCCGACAGCGGAACCAGGAGCTGCCACACGGGGCGGATGCTCCAGGTGCCGGCGGTGGCTCCTGGCCTCTCCCAGCACCAAAACCTTGAGAGGTTGTTGGTTTCCAGAGGCAGGGAGGGGGGGATTGCTTTGTTGTGGCGGGAGGATTGCTTCATTTGGATCTTCTCCCCATCAGAGACTGGAGTTTCAAACTATCCAGCAGGCAAACCTATTTGCCGGAGTCGGCAAACGGCCGAGAAAAGCCTCCAGGCAGCAGCAGGAGCCGCAGGCAGGAGCGGTGCTGGGTGCCACGGGGGGGGGGTCCTGCCTGCCCCCACGTCCATCCCTCTGCAGCTCACCCACCGCAGCGGGGGGAAAGGCAGAAGCTCACGGCCACACACCGGGCACGGCACCGAGCCAAGGCGGCTTCACCGGTCAGCCCCAAGCCCTCCGCGGTGCCGGTGGCCAGCACGGTCCTACACTCGCCCTCCCACCGCCACACGCCGAAACCGGGGCTCTCCACTCGCACCACGTCCTGCCCGGGGGCTCCGAGCCACAGCCACGGGACAGCACGAGTCGCCGGCAAAAACCGCACAGTGCTTGGAAGAGGCACCTCCTCCTCGTGCCGCGGGCTGATTCGGCACAAAGGGTGAAGGTGTTTTTCTCCTTATTTTTTTTCCCACCCTAATTTTTCCTCCCTGTTCCCAGAGGACGCAGGAGGGCTGCAGCCCTCAGAGCTCTGCCTCACCAAGCGCACCCAAGAGCTGTGGTGCTCGCCAAAATGCACCCGCCTGGGCTCACACGAGGCCCCGGTTCTCCTCAAAGTTATCTCCAGCCATGAGGAAAAAAATAAGCAGGGATGTGGCCGGCGCTGCGTCCCCATCTCAAGGGGCTCTTGCAGAGCGGGGGATGCCATGAGCAGCAGCCCCCGGGGGGGCAACGCCGGCCCCAGCCGCTCACGGCCGGCTTGGGAGGATTTTCTGGCTGCGGCTCAGCTCGGAAACAGGCAGTGGTGACCCAAGGCTACAGCGTTATTTACACCTGAACAGCTGTGAGGGGAAAATATAAACATTGAAAAAAAAAGAAAAAAAAAAAAAAAATTTAAAAAGAGCCATTTCGCTCTATTTTTGGATTTAGAAACTAGCTGAGATCAGAAAAACTGCTTGCAAATGCCGGCCCTGGCAGAAGGGAGCACGGCCATCCTCCTCCTCCTCCTCCTGCCTCCGCTTCGGCACAGAGCAGGCCATGGGGAGGGGATGACCGGCGAGCCCCCGGCCGCCCCTCGGTGATGCTCAGAGCTGGGGTGATGCTGCCCATCCCAGCCGGTCCCCGGAGCCCTGAGGAACAGAGGTGCCAAACCACCCCCTCCTCATCCGGCTGCACCCCCCGGCCCTGTTATTTCACAGCAGGCAGCAGCTCGAGAGGAGCGGAGCCGGCAGCAAGGCCCGGTGCGGGAGCAGCTCGCGGCGAAGGGGGCCCACGTGTTTCCCCACCAGCCTGCAAACCCCGTGGGGTTTCGCTCCGCCGGTGCCCTCCCCTCCCCGGAAACAAGCGGGTCGGCGAGCTTGCACAACCAGCGAGCCCCCCCTCAACAGCGCAGACCCCCGCCTGGTGTCCCCCCACGACCCCCCTCAAAGACGGGTCTTGCTGTCAGCACGGCTCACGCCAAGGCAAAAAAAAAAAAAAAAAAAAATTTAAAAAAATAATAACCCCCCCCAAAAAAACGAAGCGCTCTGTTAAACGAGCGTTTCAAGGCGTTAATTACGTATTTCTCAAGGCAGGCAGGGGTTGAGCAAATAAAGGGCTGCCGGATTTCGGCGTGACTTCCTGCTGCCGGCAGCTTCCTCTGCCGACGGCGACGAGCCGAAAGACATTTTCTGCCGGCGCTCCCCAGGCAGCAGCCGGGGATTTCTCTGCCTGTCCCAGGTCCGGCCGCCCCACGGGGCCGTGGGAGCCCCACGCGCTCCCACGTCACACGCGGCACAAGGCTCTCCCTGGGAATTTTGGAAAGGGAATAAAACCAACTGGGAGTTATTAAAAAAAAAAAAAAAATTTAAATAAATAAGCGGCTGCTTTGCCCGCAGGCACAGGGCAGGTCTGTGAACGCCCACAGGAGCATCACCGGGGCGCTTTGAAGAGGGCGAGCGGCCCGTTATCGGTATGAAAATCGGGTATCCATGGGGCAGAGCGCGCCCGTGGGCCGTGCGGGGCTGTGCCCACTGTGGGCAGCTGCCCGTGCCCCCCACCTCCCCATAGCGAGGGTGGGATGGAGGGGCTCGGGCCCGTCCCGGTGTCCGTTGGCCCTGTTACCGCCGCCCCGGACGGCCGGGGGAGCCGGTGGAGGAGCCCCCCCCCCCCCCCCCAGCGCAGCCGGGGGTCCCCGGCAGGCAGGATGGGGTGCCCAGGCCTGCAGGGCCTTTTCTGGGGGGTGCCAGCTGCCAGGAGGGTGGGGATGCCCCCCCCCCAGCTCTGCCCTGAAGGGCTGAGCATCGATGGGGTTGGGGGGACGGTACTGCAGTGGGGTGGGGCTGGCACCCCACTTCTGGGGGGAACCCCACGGCCGAGGGCGGGGCCGGCACCCTGCTCCTGAGGGACACCCAAGGCTCACTGTAGGGCCAGCACCCCACTCCCAGGGGGGGATCCTCAAAGACTGGCATCCCGCTCCCAGGGGGGATAGCCAAAGCCTGGGGTGGGGCCGGCATCCCACGCCCAGGGGGGATCCCCAAGGCCTGCTGCAGGACCAGCACCCCACTCTCGGGGAGGGGGGGGTGCTCCTGGGGCCTGGGATGGGGTCAGCACCCCACTGCTGGGGAGGGTCCCCGGGGCCTGGGATGGGGTCAGCACACCCAATTCTGGCGGGGGGGGGTTCCCGGGGCCTGATGTGGGGTGAGCACCCCAGTCCTGGGGGAGAACCCTGGGGCGGGGCAGACACCCCACCCGTGGGGGGATCCCTGGGACACGACACCCCACTAGGGCGGGGGGGGGGGGGGAATACCCCAAAGCCTGGGCTGGGGCCAGCATCCCCCCCCCGGGGGATCCCCGGGGAGGGGCCGGCACCCCCACGGGCTGGTACCCAGCGTGGCTGCGGGGCGGGGGCGGCGAGGCTGCCCCGGTTCCGGCAGGGCCGGGCGGGGGGAGCCCGGGGCACGGTGTCCCGGAGGTGGGGTGGGGTGTGTGTGTATGGGGGGGGGGGGGGGGGGGGGGGCGGTTCCCCAGGGTCTCACCCAGCAGCAGCAGCTTCACCTCCCGCGCCGCCTTCTCGCCGTCCTCCCGCAGGTTCTTGTCGATCATGCGGGAGCGCTCGGCGGCCGCCTTGTCCTCGGCGCTCACGGTGCAGCCCATGGCGGCGGCGGCGGCGGCGGCGGCGGCGGCGGCTGCCTGCGCGCGCCCGCGGCTCTGCCCGGTCCGGCCCCGCCCCGCCCCTGCGCGCCGCCGCGGGGCGGGGCCGGCGGAAGGGGCGGGGGTAACTGGGAGGGGGCGTGGCCTGCGGGAGAGGGGGCGTGGTCGCCGCGGGTATCGGGGGCGGGGCGGCATCCCCTGCCCTTTGCGGAGGGGTCTGGGGGGGGGGGGGGGGGAGCCCCCACGCGGCAGCGCCGGGGAGCGGCGTGCGGTGAGACGCGCGTGGGCAGGCGGGCGTGGGGCCTCGGCGTGCCACGGGACGGGCGGTGTGGGGACACGGTGTGGCCGGGACACGCGGGCGTAGGGGACACGGGGCGCCACGGGACGGGCAACGTGGCGCCGTGGAGCACCCCGGGACACGCGGGTGTGGGGTCTCGGTGTGCCCGGGACACGCGGGCGTGGGGACACGGGGCGCCACGGGACAGGCGGGCGTGGGGCCTCGGTGTGTCCCAGGACAGACATGGGGAGGGGGGATGGAGTTTGGACATTGCGCTTCGGGTCCTTTGGGTGCAGAGAGGTGGGTGCAGCCCTGGGGCCGGCCGCGTGGGGGAACGCTGTGTCCCACGGTCACTTCCGTGGGGACGCAGCGTCGCAAGACGGTGGCTCAGACCGCAGGGACCTGCTTGTCCCGCCACTGGCCGCGGGGCTCGGCCCTCGGGGCCCCACGGAGCTCCGCGGTGGGTGCCAGGGCTGGGGGTGCCCGCGACCGAATGGATGGGGCCAGACGGGACTGGGCAAGATGAGGCACCCCGCAGCTCTCCCCCAGGGCAGGGGGTACCCCCTGCGCTTGCCCCCCCCCCCACCAGCTCCCAGGGTGGCTCCCTTGGGAATTGGACCCCCCACGCAGCCCTGGGAGGGTGCCCGCCTCTGCCTGCTGCCCCGCGGGGCTGGCCCGTGCCCAGGAAGCCGCCCCAGCTCCGGCGCCAGCCCCACGGCAGAGCCACACCACCCACCCGGGCCCCCCCAGCCCCTCCTCACCCCCCGCCAAGCTGGCACCCACCGAGCGGGGCAGGGGGCAGCGGGGGATGCTCTGATTTAGAAGCCGCTGTGCCAAGGAGGGGGAAGGGAGCGCAGCAACCGCCCACGCCAGCCCAGCCGTGGGGTCCGTGGGACAGCACCCGTGGGCCCCGGCCTGGAGGGAGCGGGGCTGTTCCCGTGGGAGAGGGGCCACGGCACTAATAAGGCTTCGCTAATGAGCTGGCGCTGTGCCCAGGCCTGGGGATGGCTGGAGTAAAGCCCCGCGCCCGCGGGCAGGGGGAGAGAGGGGCTGGGGGCGGGGAGAGGAGGGGCGCTCACCCCCACTCCACACCAGTAAGGCCTTGGGGTTGATCCCCGGGGGTGCTGGGGGGGGGGCACTTGCTGCCCTGGAACCGGGCATGGGCTTCCTCCAGCCCTGCTTCCACAGGACTCCCACTCCCCAGGGGTCCTGCGCCCCGGGGGTCCCACTGTCCCATTCTGGCCACACCCAGCAGGTCTCCCACAGGCCGGGTCTGCGCGTGGGGGCACAGCACCCCATCTTGTGCCTGTGGAGCCCTTCACACCCCACCCACACCCCACCCCGTGTGTGTGTCCCCACGTCCCCATTCCTGCATCCCGGCAGGCATCCCCCTCTGTGTGTCCGTGCCTGTCCATCCCACAGGAGCGTCTGTCCGCATGTCCGTCTGTCCGTGCTGCCTCAGGACGCTGCGTGCTGGGTGCCAGCTCCTCGCCCTCCCCCCCAGTGACGCCCGAGACCTGGGCACATTCACATCTTTATTCTCACAGCCAGAGGCTTCGCCAGCCGGCCTCCTCGCCGGCACAGACATTGCCCCCATGGATAATTTAAAAGCATCGCCCCCCCCTCCGCCACGGGCACGGCACAGGGGTGGCCACGGGGCAGCCGGGCTGGGGCCAGGGCCAGCAGGGCCACGCTGCAGCCAGCAGCCCTGGGGCGACGGTGAGGGTCCACGGCGGTGCCCCTCGCTGGCACCAGGTCGCAGCCCCCCCCGCCTCCACCCCATATAGATATGTACATCATACAGAGCTACCCAGAGCAACACAACACGTTAAAAAAGATCTACTCTTATATACAGTATTTATAAAAAGCATCCTGGCCTCCACCACCCCGGTAAAAAAATACGTCTCTTATGTACTTCACCGCAGGACAGCCCCCCCACCTGGTTTGGCCCCCCTCCCCCATGCTGGAAAGGGAGGCAGTGGGTGGGAGAGCCGCTCTCCGGGTTTTGGCATGGCGTGGGGCATCCCAGCGGCACAGGTGGGAGAGGGCTGTGGGGGCCTGGGTGCTGGCCCTGGGTGCAAGGCAAGCAGGGCCAGCTTGGATTGCAGGGGTGCCCATCACCCTGGCGTCTGGGCACGCAGACAGAGGGGTGGCTCTGCAGCCCCAAGCTGGCCCCCTGTGAGTGGTGCCCCCAGGCCTCTGCATCCCCCCTTCCCACCCCCCACGCCCCTCGGAAGGGGGGGCCAGGCTCCGGACAGCCAAACCGCAGCACGGGCAGCAAGCCCCCGGCGGGCACGCCACCTCCCCACAGTGATGCGGCCGGTCCCCAAGCGTGGCCTGGGTGGGGGTCACTGGGGTCCCATCTGTGGGCACCGGGAGCCAACTGTTCCCCCAGCAGGCTCAAGAGCAGTGGGCTGGGTACCGTGGGGACCAGTGGGGTGGCATTTCTGCAGGGACCGGGGGATGGCAGGGGAAGGGGGCGGGGGGGTGGCTTGGGCACAGGTGCTGCCGCAGGTCCGACCACCCCGCTGGACTCCAGCCCCCCACGGACACTGTTCATCAGGACTCTCAATGCTGTCTGGGGGGGGGGGTGTGTGTCAGGAAAGTGCCCCAGTCCTCAGCCCCCACGGCGGGCAGTGCCCTGCGCCCCTGGCAGTGCCCGCTGCCGGCGGCTCTGGGTGCGCAGAGACGAGCTCCACCTGACAGCCAGCTCCCGGTGAGGTAGGGCAGTATTATTCTCCCCATTTTACAGACGGGGAAACTGAGGCGCAGAGCAGGGAGGGTACCCTCTGGAGCAGGGGTGGGGCACAGCACCTGCCCCAGGCTCACTGCCCCACCCTGGGCACAGGCTGGGGGGGTCCCCGCGCCTGCCATGGCTCATACCCCCTCACCACCACCGCGGGTGATGGGCAGCGACGGCGGAAGGTCCCCAGGGAAGCCTGGCGGGGCCGTGGCATGGGGACTGAGCCCAGGGCCAGCTCTCCCTGGGGCACCGGTGGGTGGGGGGGAGGTTGGCGTGGGCACCCAGTGCTGGCTAGTGGCTGCCACCGCTCTTCCCCCCACCCATGGCCCAGTCGATGATGATGAAGCTCAAGCTCATGATCATGAAGAGCACCCCGAGGAGGGCGAAGCAAGCAGCCTGTGGGGACAGGGAAGAGGATCAGGGACGGGCAGGGCGACAGGGTCCTCAGCCCAGCCACAGGACCCCCATCCCTCTCCCCACCCCCCCACGCTTACCAAGATTTTGGGGGTGGAGCGCAGCGGCTCCTTGTCCTTGGGCATGATGCGGATGTAGAAGATGGCGGGGAAGATGAAGATGAGGCAGGGAGCAGAGGTGGCACCTGGAGCAGACAGGGACAAACCGGGCAGGGGACCCCCGCCCCATGGCTCAGCCCTGCCAGCCCCGCTGCTGGGCCAGGTCCTGTGTCCCCCTCCCCCGGCCACCCCCAGTCCTGGCAAATCCTTCCAGAAACCCAGGGACGCCGTGTCCTGGCACCATCCCCACACCCCGCCCTCCACAGCCAGGGCCTTGGCACTGAGCTGGGTGCCGAGGGGGGGGAGCCCAGCTTGGGGGATCAAGGGAAATAACCAGGGGAACAGCAAGCGCCAGCCAGCAGCATGGCAAGCAGCAGGCACCCCTCTGTGGGAACCAGTTTGCCAGGACAGGGATGGGGACCCCCTCCCGCACTGGCTGGTCCCAGCACAGTGAGAAGGGGAAACTGAGGAACAGGGAGGGTCAAGCAAAGCCCAGCGCCAGGCAGGGGCAGGGGCTGGCGTGCTGCCCACGACCCCCAGCGCCCCGGGGATGGGGGGGGACGGGAGCAGGGTGCTGCCACACACCGATCATGCCGAAGATGCCGAGGATGGAGGGGGCGAAGATGACCAAGAGGTTGATGAAGGTCAGCAGGACCACGGCGATGGTGACGTGGCGGATCCAGCTGAAGTCCTTCCCTTGGAACAGCATCTGCTGTATGGCCCGGCGCACCTGCGGACATGACGGGGTGTCACGCTCCATCCTTGGAGCCAGGGTCCATCCCGTCCCCTGTCCCCACAGACCTGACGGTCCCCATCACCCATGCCCCAGCCCTGATGCCTCACTGATCCCTGTCCCCTCCTCCCCTGCCCCAGCCCTGTCCCCACAGCCCCACTGGTCGCCATCGCCTCTGTCCCTGCCCCAGCCCTGTCCCTGACACCCAGCTGGTCCCGTTCCTGCATCCCTACAGCCCCACCGATCCCTGTCACCCTGTCCCTGGGCCTCAGCTCCATCACTGCCTCAGTTTCCCAACTCAAAACGTGGTGCCAAGGTCCTGTTTCGGCTGGGAGGTGGCAGTGCCACCTGGCATCCCCACGGGGCCACTCACCGGGAAGAGGACGATGGGGACGGTGAGGGTGACGGCCGTCAGCACGGCCACCCGCACGCACAGGATGAGCACATCGAAGGGGTCCACCTTGTTGTATGTGTGCAGCAGCTCCGACTCCACCCGGCCTGTGGGCACCAGTGGGGAGCCGCTGGGTGAGCCTCGGCACCCCCCACACACCAGTGCCAGCGTGCTGGCAGGGCCCCCAGCCCCTGGCCCCCTCCCCAACAGCTCACCATAGAATGTGAGGTAGCCAAAGAGGGCAGCCAAGAAGTACATGAGGTACATGACCATGATGGAGATGTTGGAGATGCACTGCATCTTCTTCTTGGAGGGGCTGCGGGAGATGGCAGGCTCAGCATGGCCCTCGCCAGCACCAAGCACCCCGCCCCCGGCAAGGAGGGGTGATGCCAGAGCACCCTAGGGTGCACAGGGACTGGGTGGAGAGGGGCTGCGTCCCGATTCCTGGGGTATGTGGTGGGTCAGGTCGCCCACCCACTCACCCTGGCTCATAACACCCACCTCCCAGGGGTGATATCACCCACCACCCACCCCGAGTCATGTTGCCCACTTCCCAGGGGTGATACCACCCACCCCGGGTCATATCACCACTCTCCCAGGGGCAATATCACCCACCGTCCACCCACCCATCCCAGGTTGTATCACCCATCCCAGATCCTACCACCACCCCGACCACCCACCTAAGGTCATATCACCCACCTCCCCACGATGCCCCGGCGCAGGTCCCACACCCGGATGGCACGGCCTTTGGGTGAGTGCCGGACAAAGCCCACCCCTCCCTGTGGGCGTCCCCACCCAGGACTCACTCCTTCAGCTCAGTGTAGATGGGCAGGACCTCGGGGTGGCAGACGAAGGCAAAGGCCATGATGGGGATGGTGTATGCCGTCTGCGCAAAAAGAGGATGGCTGAGCGCCGGGGGCCAAGCTGGTGGATGCCACCAGCACTGGGACCACCCGTCTTCATGGGGTGCACAGGGCCAGGGCTCACCCAGAGCCCCAGGGGTGCATCCCAGGCCCCTACCTGGGAGTTCAGGGTGAAGAAGCTGGGGGTGCAGGTGCCCTGGTCAGGCGCCTGGAGGACGGTGTAGCCGTTCTGGTAGTCGCTGGTGCTGACAGGGGTGGCGTTGAGGCTGCCCGTGAGGTTCCCTTCCTGCTCAGGGAGCGGGCAGGGGATCTGGAACTTCTTGTAGATGACCTGGGGTGGGGGGGACACGGGGACGGTCAATGCCCAGAGCCAGCACCCCCCGGCACCCACTGCCCAAGCCAGCACCATGCCCAACAGGATGGTGCCCCTGAAGGGACCCCTCTACGGCGCACGCTTTGCCCATGGTGCCCCACACCAATGCTGACCCCCTCGCCTGCCCTTGCGATTACCAGCAGCACGTGGAGGGGCCGCACACGTGGTTGCCAGCCCCCCCCACCCCCCCGGCACTCTCTCCCTTTCCCCGGCACTCAGCTCCTTCAGCCAAAAATAACCCAGCAGCGTGGCAGCACCGCCACAGCGTCTCCACAGCCCGGAGCACCCTCTGTCCCCGCTGTCCCCACAGCAGGCAGCCCGGCCGCACCGGCGGAGCCATGCACCCTGGCAGAAGGGATGCTCAGCATCCCGAGCCACCGACACGCGCTCACCGAGATGAGGAAGAAGCCCATACAGCTCAGGGAGAAGCCGCTGGCATAGCCGAGGTAGCCTGGGGAGGGACGAGAGTGGCCGGTGGGTGCGGGCAAGATCCTGGCGCTGGCTGGGTGCCCCCTCCTTGCCCACCGGGGTGCTGGACCCCAGCACCGCAGGCAGCATCCCCCATGACTTACCCAGCTGCTTCATGAGGGCCAGGGGCAGGATAATGGTGACGGACACCAGGATCACCAGGTAGTTCCCGTTCATGTACCAGTCCCTGGAAGCAGAGGGCCTGCTCACCGCCCCGCTCTGCTGGGGCACGGGAGGCACAGGCAGCCATCGGCGGGGGGATGCCTGCCATCCGTGGGGACCCCCGCGCTGGCAGCCCCAGGGACACTGGCACTCCCCACAGCTGGCATCCCCAGGGACCCCCGAAAAGTCATCCCTGGGGACCCCTTCAGCATTCCTGAAGGCCCTCGAGCTGGGCTCCTGCCTACCCCCATAGCGGTGTACCCCCGAGGGCTAGAGCTGCAGTGGGCAGGCTGAGAACTGCCGTTCTCAGCACACGTTTGCCCGTGGGCAGCCTGGGTTACCAGCTTCTGCAAGGGGCCTCAGTCAGGTCCTCAACAACCCCAGGCAGAGGGAGCTGCCCCCCAGCCACCCACAGGGCAGGACCCCTACCCAGCCCTGGTCCCACATGCTGTCGAGCAGCCCACAGCAGCCGGGGTCGAGCCTGGGTGGGACACCGAGTCTCAAACTGGTGGAGGTCCCAGTGGCAGCTCTGCCCAGCTCTCGCCCCCCCCGTGCCACCGGGTGGGGATGCAGGCATGGGATGGGGGGGACCCCATTCCCAACCTGAGCTCCTTTTCCCCCACCCTGCAGCCCTGGTCTCTGCTCAAGGAGGTAAGCCTGATCCCAAGGCGATGTGAGGAGCAGGGATTGGAAGTTCAACCCGGTTTAATCCCATCCAGGGGCTTATTTAATACTGGCGGTTATCAAAAATAGTAGTGGCTTAATGGCAGTAAATCCCTGCCATGGGCTGCACAGCTGGAGCTGAGGCTGCGACGCCCGCCCGGGGGAAGACAGGCAGTCAGCGTGGGCAGGAGGACTCACGTTGTCTTCTCCTCCAGGTTGAGAAAGGTCTGGATGACGAGAGGCACTTCGGATTTGACGATGTACAGGTAGCTGGACATGGCTGCAGGGCAGAGCGAGATCATGCTGTGTCAGCGCGCTCCGGTCCTGTCCCTCCTCGCCAGCCCCACCACGCCCCCCCCTGCCAGTCCCAGTCCCATCCTCACCTCCAATGTTTTGCAGCGTGATGGCGATGGCCGCGGCCAGCTTGCCCGGCGTGCCAAAGGCTCGGTAGCCCAGTTGCTCGTAGGCGCGGATGCCTGTGGGATGGGGAGCGGTGGTGGGGTGAGGGTTGGGAGGGAACCCCGCAGCACGGCCCCACGGGAGACCCGGCACTCACCCACGATGCCTGAGGACTTGAGCAGCAGGTGGATGGAGTAGCTGGAGAGGAGGGCCACTGCCGTCAGGAGGAAGCTGTGGGAGGACAGCACCGTCACCAGTGGGTCACAGCACTGGGCTCAGACACAGTGGGGGGGCAAACCCCACAGGGGGAGGCTCTGCCATCCTGGCAGGCCACCCAGCCCCTCGCCTCGGCACCGGCTGGGTGCTGTCGGGGTAGATGTGCTGTAGGGTGCGAGCACCCCTCAGCTGTGGGGCTGCTCCAGCCCTGTGGGTTCATGTCCCCACACCCAAGGCACCCACATCCTGAGCCACACAGGGAAATCTGGTCTTGTATTAAGGAAGTCAACCCTTCATCCTCCTCCCCAGTGGGGCACAGCAACCCACAGGGGCAGACAGGTTCATGCCAGGGACGGGCCTCGCTCAGGCATCAGGACACCGGTCCCTGCATCACCCCAAATCAGGGACCCCTTTCTCACCTGCGCCCCTGGCACCCACCAACTCCCTTGGAGGAGCACCCCACACCCAGACCCCTCCACCCAAGCCCCTGCGGGCGCACAGCACTCACAGGAAGAGGACGATGCCGGTGTTGGCCATGGCGTAGGCCAGCCCCAGGATGCCGCTGCCCATGATGGCATTGCTCAGGTTGAAGACGGACATCCCAAAAGACGTCTTCCCTTCAAACTGCACGCACGAGACACAACGGGGAGGGGACGCATGGGTCACACCGGCAACTACCCCCATTCCACCAACACCATGGTACCCGTGAGGATACTCACATCAGTGAAGTGTGTCTGCTTCTTCTCGGCGCCATGGGGCAGGAACTCCTCCATCTCTGCCGTGCCGGACTGGTTCTCCTCAAACCTGGCCGCCGGACGAAGGGGAATGAGGCCGAAGCAAAGCAGGGGACCACCACATCTCCCCACGTGCCCAGGCAGCACTGCCTGGCACCGCAAGGGCAGGAAGCAGCCAGGAGGACCCCCCAAGCCCCTGGCACCCCAGATTGTCCCAGGGTCCCTACCTGTCACCCGCCAGCGAGGGGACGGTGGAGGCGGTGAGCACGGCCGTGTGCTTCCCGTTGGGCACCAGCTCCACCATCTCAGCCTGGAGGGGCACGTCCGTGGCGTCCATGGCGGGGAGGTGGCTGGGCTCACTGCGGGCTCTCCTCGGGCTCTGCACCAGAGGGGTAACAGCGGTCTGGCTCCAGGCAAGGGCACTGGAGGGGCCGGCCTGGAGGCTCACAAGTCCCACACCCACTGGGGATGCCGGAGTCGAGCTCAGCACCCGTGCTAGTGGCACCGCAGGGCCACACACCCAGGGATGACAGGGATGCCCGGCCAGGCATCACCGCGGCTGGACTTCTCCCTTCTGCCTGCTCAGCACATAACGCCCCGTGCACGTCACCCCAGCTCCGACAGCCCCATGAGGGTCCCCAGGTGGGGCCATCCCCTCGCCCGGCCAGCCGTCCCGCAGCCCACCCCGCGGGACCGCTCCGCTCCCTTGCCCACAGCACAGTGCCAGCCCAGCCCTGGAGCCTCCGTCCGCGGCGCCTGCCCACCTCCACTGCTCTGCCCGCAGCTCTCAGCTCTGTGCCTCAGTTTCCCTTCACGGAGATGGGCGTCAACAGGCGAGCAGGGGCGTTTGGGAGGGCAGTTGGGGACGGGACAGGGAGCTCGGGGACCCCCCAGCCAGCGCCGTTACGTAAAGCCTGCGGCACTGCCCAGCGCGAAGGGTTCGCCCGCATCCCACTGCCCGGGGCCGGCACTGCCGGGGTGCCAAGGCAGGGGGCTCGGGGGCACGTCAGGGCTGGACAAACGGAGCAGGAAAGAGCGCGGGGCCGGGAGACAGCTCCTTGGCAGGGGAAGGCAGCCAGGCTGCCGAGCGCGGGACGCCTTGGCACGCCGCACAAAGCCGCCTCTGTGCAAGCCCCGGCCCTCCCCACCCCGCTGGGAAACGGCACAGGGTGGCTTTCTGGGGCAGGCTGGCAGCCGGGGCAGGGTCCCCCACCATCCTCCCACTGGCCTGTTGGGACTGGGGTCCTGTCCAGCCGGCCAAGGGGGCTCCAAATTAGGGCCACATCCAGTCAAGTGAAGATGCCACCCAGCCCGAGGCGAGGGCTGGTCGGGATGCAGTGCAGCCCCTGAGCCAGGGAGAATACTGCTGCTGCATCATCCCGCTGCCTGGGGGGTGAGCGTGGGACATGCCAGTCTTTGTGCTCCCAGGGGGTCAGTGGCCCTGGGGACCAGAGAGCCTTCCCACAGCACTGCAGGGGCAGGGAGACACAGGGCACAGCAGCCCCCCCCCAGCATGTAGGGGAAGGATGCCACGGCAGGGTGTGGGCGTCAGCACCTCAGGGCTCCTGAGCCACTGCCCTGCCTGTCCTGGCCACCAGAGAGACCTGGCAGGGTCATCCCAGGCCACATGCTGGCTACCGGCAGTGCTGGGGGGGGGGGGGCGGGGGGAGCTGAGCCCCTAAGGCTGCCCTGGGGCAGGGGGCACATGGCTGGGTCACCCACATCACCTGCAGCACCCAGCCTGGTGGGGAAACTGAGGCAGGGTGCTGGCCAGCGGGGACCAGAGCAGGGAGGCTCAGCCACGCGGGGGAAGCGAGGGAAGCGCAGGGCGGGCGCTGGGCGATGATTTATCCCCTCTGCTAGGCCTCCGCTTGGGCCAGATCCAGGCACGAACAAGGCTGCCAGCACGTCCAAACGCCGCCGTTAACTCTGCGCCTTCCCGCCGCCGCGGGCGGGCATCGCCAAACCTGTTGCTCCCAGTGTCGGGCTTGAGGGGGTCTGCCAGCCCCTCCTGGTGCTCCATCACCTCCCCAAACCCCCCCAGTGCCGCCAGGCTGCCCACAGGCAGAGCTCCGCTGCATCCCACCAGCGTTGGGCAGGAGCTGCCCTGCTCCCCCTGCCCACTCCCCCGCGGGCGCCAGGGAGGCTGGGCGCTCTCCTCTGCAGCCCCTTTCTTCTCCCAGGTTATAATTACACCTCGCTGGGCAGCTCAGGAAATACCAGCTTCTTCCCCCGAGCGCCTCTCGGAATAGCAAGCGGCACGGCAGGGCTCATTTCGCATGCATCGGGCTTAGTGCCGCCACCCAGACGCTTCCTCCCGCCGGGCAGCGCTGGCACAGCCCCGGCACAGCCCCGGCACTGCTCTCCGCCACCTCCCCGGCTGGCCCCCGGCCTTTGCCCCTCGGCCAGGGTCTCCTGGTGGCGGCCAGGGAAGGGGGGGAGATGAAAGGGGAGGGAATGGGAGACGCTTCGATCGGGCAGAGCGTGCCCTGCCTGCCGCTGTTTGCCTTGCGATAAGGCCGGGCAGAACAGCAAATACATGGAGCTGCGGATGGCCCCGGGGGGGGGGTTGCATGGGTCCCCCCAGGGCTGGGGGTGGCAGGTTCACCCCTGTCCCTGTGTGCCCACCTCAGCTGGGGACCCTCCACTCTGGGCAAAGAGCATCTCTCCCGGGATCTCCCGCCACGGCGTGCCAGCCCCGAGAGCCCCAGCCCATCGCCGCGGGGCTGCCATGCCGTCACACAGATGGGATGCCGCCATCCTCGGCAGCTCCTCCGTGTGCTGCCCAGCATCATCCCCCTCCGGACTGCCAGCCCCAGCGCCCGCTCGCCCACCCTGATGGCATGGGTACAGCCACACATGTGGGCACAGAACGCCCCCCCCCACTCTGGAACCCAGGGCCGTGTCCCTGGGGGTGCTGAGCCAGCCGCACTGATTTCCCAGCCTGTGCCTCCCCACTGCCTGATGGCTCCAGGTGACAAGGACCAGCAACAGCCCCTGCTGTGCCCGGACACCCCACCTCTCCCTACCCAGCCCTGGCTCTCCGGCAGGCTGCTCCTGCTGTCCCACTGCTCGGTGACAGTCAGGACATCGCCCACCCCACCAACCCTCCGTCACGGCCACGCAGCCCTCCCGCAGCCCCCCCCGTGGGGAAGGCCGAGCTGTATGCGTGGGGCGGCACGTACCCTCCCCGCCGGCCACGTCTGCGCGCCAGGGGAGGCTGCGTCTGGTCTCGCACGCCGTGTCCCCGGCCAGCACAGATGCCTGCCCCTCCTCGCCAGGGTGGGGATACGTGTGTGGGGCGGCAGGACTCCCAAATCCATGCCCTGCCCTGGCAGACAGGCAGCCCTGGGCTCACCTCAGCCCCCTGCCAGCATTCCCTGGGGGCTAGGGCACCGTGGCAGGGGATCCGGTCCTGGAAGGGGCTGCACCCCTCTGCCCAATACCTCGCTTCCACCCGGACTTTATATAAAAGGTGTAAAATCCCAGCTGGGAGTGGGGGGGCTGGGACAGGGGAGAGCTCTGTCAGCAGTGCCAGCAGAAGGTGCCCATCGCACCCGGCAGCGTGGCGAGGAAGACACGGATCACCCCAGGAAAGCCTGGCCCTTGCACTCTGCCGGTTCCCCTGCTCAAGCCGCGGCACGGCACTGTCCCTGCTGGGGCACGCCATGCCGGCAGGAGCATGGCACACACCGGCACCGGCAGCCGCTGCCTGCCAGCCCTGCCTGTGCCACGCCGCGCCAGCCCGGGCTGCGATGACCCACCGTGTCCCCACACCCGTCTGCGGGCACCCATTGCTCTCACCCACGGGGGACGAAGGCACCGGGTCTCCCTGGCAGTGGGTGGGTGCTCCCCCAGGCCGGGGACCCCCACAGGGCAGAGACCCCCCTCCCCATCTCTCCCTCTGAAGATGAATCCCGCGGGGCTAATCCGTCCCAGATGGGGCCACAGGACTATTCCGGGTGGTAATCCGGCTTTAGTGCCAAGCCTGCCGCAGCTGCCGGCTTGCGTGCTCGCAGCCAGGTACCCTGCAGCCGCTGGCATGTGCTGGGGGGCCGGCAGAAAGGCCCTCCCCCCTCCGTGCCCGCCTGCCCAGGTGGCTGTTCAGGTTTCAGCAGAGCTGGGCACAGAGGTCTCATGTTCCCTGGGGCTGCGCTGGTGACACAGCCCTCCCAGAGACAGGCAGCCTGGGCAAGCGGGCAGGGACGCCAACCATGTCCCCCTGCTGCCATCAACCCCCAGCCCTGGGACCACTGCTGGGCATGGGGGGACCCCCAGCCTGGGGTCCCTGGCCAGCCCCCAACACCAATGTGGGCGCAGGGGTGCGCAGAGCTGGGGCAACAGCCCAAACCTCAGGGACCCCTGGGCATTATCTCCACAGCGGAGCCGGCCCCAGCAGGGCAGGCACACACAGCGGGGACCCCCCCGCAGCTCCCCTTGCCCCTCCACAGAGAAACACACACCCGCACCCCCTCCCAGGACAGCCCTGGGAGCCTGGGCACTGGGACCAGAGCCAGCCTGACCCTACAGGAGCAGGGCCTGCCCTTCCCCCCGAGCACACGCAGACGTGTCTTCCCCCTGACCTGCCTTCCTAAAATTAGCACCCCAAACCTGTTTTTAAACCTATGGCATTTCTCCCACCCCACCTCCCAGCCAAGCACAGGCAGTGCCATTGTCTCAGGGACAGTGGGCACCCAGAAGGGCAAATCCGGCTGTGCAGGGGCACAGCTGGGCACCTCACCTTTGGGGCGAGGGTTCTGGGGTGCACCCCCAAGTGCACGGGGACAACGGCAGCTGTGGGGAGGGACATTTGGAGACAACCTGCCCAGTGCATGACTGGGGAGCCCCTCTGGGTAGCCCCACTGTAGACCTGCTGGGAACCCCTGTGAGCTAGCCCCACCAGACAGCCATGCTAGCCAGCCCCACAAATTGTCCCAGCATGAACTGGGTGGTGTGGCCACCCGCTCCTGGGCTCACCCAACCCTGGAGTTTCATCCCCAAACACCGCACCATGGCTCAGCCTCGGGCCAGGCAGTGCCCCTGGCACTCCAGCCAGGGCAGAATTGGCAGCGACAAGAAGGAGCAGGCGGCTCTCAAAGCCGCTGTCCTGGCTAGCAGGGCTGCGTCGGCACCGACACCTGCCCCAGCAGTTCCCAGCCATGCTGTGCAGGGACTGGTGTCCACCTGGGGTCTTCCCTCGAAGAGCACAAGTGGCCCCTGTGTCCTTGGGAACGGCTCTGCCCGAGCCCGGGGACGTGCCCACAGGCAGAGTGTGCCAGCGGCCAGGCTGGCTCATGGCCACTGTCCCACAGCAGCAGACGTGCTGGGGTCTGGGACACGCCAGGGAGGGGAAAGGCGGTGGTGGAGCCAGACATCGTGGTGGGGGGGGAGGGAGGGGACACGGGGAGGGTTTTCCAAAACCAGAGACACGGCGCGGCTTGGCCACGACAATTGCCTGCTTGTCGTGTGCCCCAGGACGGGGCCACAGAGGGAAGTGAGGGGCCACGGGACAGGTACTGGCCACCACCATCACACCACCTCTTCCCACATGCAGGAACCAGTACTGAGGTGAGCTGGGATGTGTGGTGGGGAAACTGAGGCACGGGTCCAGAGGCCAGGCAGTGGCAGGAGAGCTGTGCCCAGCATCGGGACAGCCCGGGCTGCCACTGGCACAACCTGGCGTGGAAGGAAGATGTTGAGCCTGTCCGGGAGAGGGTCAGGCAGAAGAGGCAGCTGGCAGTGTGGGGATGGGAACAGGGATGGGGACGGTGAGGGCACGGCCCAAGGCCAGTGGCACCTGGCATGTCTCTGGGGGAGGCTGGATGAGACGGCAGCTTGAGCCCAAATTGTCCCAGCCAGCTCTAGGATCTATGTCAGGGTTTGTTTTAAACTTAAAGCTGATGCAGTGCCCGTCAGGAGCTCAGAGCCACCCGGGGAGGACAGTGGCACGGTGGAGACTGATGGGCAGGTGATGCCTAAAACAAAACTTTAGGTTTTCTATTGCACCTCTGGAGACACATTTCGCCTTGGAAGCGAGATGCTTTTCAGGAGTTCCCACTCCCTAAAACACACGAGGCCTTGGTGGGATGACATCAAGGGGTCAATGGCAAAAAACATTCAAGCTGCCAATTTGCTGCAGGCGAATGTCCCGGCGACACCGGGGGGGGGGGGACCGACTTCAGCCGTGGGCTCGTGTGTCCCACCACCACCCCAGTACCCCCAGCATAGCACCCGCCTGGGGGCTGCGACCCACCCAAGCCCCAGGGGACAACTGCTGTCCCTGGCCCTGCCACTCTTGCCATCAGGCCACCCCACCAGCCTGGTGTCTGCTCCCCAGTCTGGGGACAGCAGGACTATGCTGGCTGTTCCCCGCTGGCACAGGGGGACCCAGCCAGCCCCGGACCTGCGTCAGCGGCCGGGGAGGTGCGCGGCAGTCAAGACCCACACAGTGAAGAGGGTCGGGGGCACAGGGGGGCCCATCCCATCCCCAACCCACCTCTGTTTTCTCAAGGGCTGAGTTTCCAGAGGAGCCCGTGGGATCCCGCTCCTTCCCCCCGTCCCCACGCGCCAAGGAAAATAGGCTCTGCCGGTGCCTGTTTGTTTGCCGTGGCTGCGGCCCCGGCGTGTGATTACAGCTGCAGCACGGCCGGGCGCTGCGGGGCCCTTTACGCCTCGGCCAGGCTCCCCCACGGTGCCGGCACCCCCCGCCATGCCGTCCCGGGGCTGGCCGGGGTGCCCCCACTGCCCCCCAGCATCCCTGGCCACGGAAGTCAGGAAATGCTGGTGCTTGGTCCCCAGGGGGACAGGACAATGCCATGGGGCATGGAGGGCTTTCCCTGGGGTGCCCCCACGAAGCCAGGGGGGTGAACGTGTGCTGGTGGCCGGCAGCAGGGACCAGGCAGGCCTAACGGCTCAGCTTGGGCCTGATCCAAACACCAGTGGAAAATTCCCCGTCTCCTCCGCGGCGACTCAGCGCGGCCATGCCCTCCGTGGCCAGCCGGGGCTCAGCCCTCCTTCCCCCCCGCCCCCGTCCCACCTGCCAGGGACCTGCGGGGTCCCCGTGTCGCCCGCGCCACCGCAGAGCCGGCCCTTGGCACGGGGACCCTGAGGCCAGCAGCCGCTTGCCGTGCCTCAGTTTCCCCTCGGGGAAGGTTTCTCCCCAGCAGGACGTTTGCAAGCCGCCCCCGGGGAAGAGCAGGCCGCCGTGCCGGCTGGCGTGGGACACGCGTGGCCGGCGGGAACGCAATGTGCCGCCTGCCTTTCCGCACTGCCGTCCCGGCCAGCCAGGCTCTATAAATACCCTGGCCTGGGGAAGCACCGCACGCACGGCCAAGCCGAGCCCCAGCTGCGGCTGCGGCGGCCGGCATTGCTCTCCACAGCCGTGCCCCCCGCCGCGCACCGCTCCTCGCCCCGGCACCCTGACACCCGATCCCAGCCGCGACCGCTTCCAGCCTTAAGAAACATATGTTATTCCCACGGACAATTAAAAATTAAAAAGGGAAAGAAAAAGGGGGTTTGGTGGTAGTATTATTATTATTATTATTGTTATCTGCAAAGCGGGCGGCGATGCCAACCCCCCCCGGCATCCCGCTGCGGGCAGGAGCTCTGGGCATTAGGGTGGAAAGGCAGCAACGCAGGACTCTGCCTTCCCTCTGCCCTCGCAGGATTTGTTACCCACCCGTGGGAGGGTTTCAGCAGCTGGAGAGGGAAGTGGCAGAAGAAAAGCAAAGCAAACAGCCCCGGGGCACTGCCACCTGCCCGGGCTGCCGGAGCCCTCCTCCGGTGCTGTCCGGGGGGGCACATGTCCAGCTCCGGGAAGAAGAGGAGGAGGAGGAGGAGGAGGGGAGCAGGGAATTGCGGGGCGCACCGGGCTGCGGGAGGAGAGCGGGGCCCGGCGGGGGGGGGTTAAAATGGGGTGCGGGGGGGACTAAGGGGAGGTGAGGAGCCCAAACCTTCCGCCGCGGAGTTTCCCGAAGGAGAAGGCAAAAAGTACGGGGGTGCGTGCAACTGGGGAGGCTGGGAGAGACTTACCTGGCCCTCTCTCCGGCGGCGCCTCTGCTGCGGGCTGGGGCGAGCAGCCCCCGGTGGCCGGTGCCGCGGATTAGAAACTATCCTGCGGCCGTAATCCCGGCGGAGCCGGAGATTAAACCGGAGCCAGGCCCGCCCCCAGCGCGGCGGCTCCCAATCTCCGCGCCGCCGGGGCAGCGTCAGGGGCAGCGCCGGGGAGGGACCGGCCGCGGCGGGGGGAGCGCACCCGGCCCCCGCCCCGGCCCCGGCCCCGCCTCGCCCGCCGTCCCACCGGCTACCGCCGCCCCTTCGGGCATTGGGTCTCACCGGGCACGGCCACCCCCCCCCCGCCCCGGGCAGCACCCACCGCCCCGGGCATCAGTGTCCCACCGGGCATCCCCACCCCACTCGGCATCGGAACCTCACCGAGCATCCCCCCACCCCACCCCACCCGGCACGGTCACCCCACCGGGCACCGGTGCCCCGCCGGACGTCACCACCCCGCCGGGCATCGCTACGCGGAGCACCCCGGGGGCTGCTGCAGGAGGGTCTCACAGCAACGGGGCTGTCACTCTTGCTCTGATCTAACCCGAAGGGGTAAATCCAGCATGCGTCAAGTGCGGGTGCTGGGTTTTCTCCCCTTTTAGGGAGGGACAGAGGCACCCCACAGACGAGGAAGGTCCCCTCCAGCACTCCCCACAGCCAGGTTCTCTCCCCGGACTGGGAAGCTCCAGTTGCTCCCACATTAAACCAGCCTAGCCAGCTGCCCCACTCGGGGTGCCCACTGCCCCCATAGCAGCCACCTTGGTACCTCGTAACACTGAGAGCAAACAATCCGTGTGGGATCACCCCAACGTTACCCAGAGGGGGGGGGGACAGCCCGGTCCCCTCCTCCAGTCTCCATCAAACTTCCCCGCTTGAGCTGAAACACCTCTTTTTTTTTTTTTCATGGAGACACAATTCGGGGTCTATCTCTACAAAAGTGGCCCAAAGAGGCAATTTCTTCTCCCAGGAGCATCCCACACACTGCAGGAAGAGCCAGCAGCTCCTGGCCAGCCACCAACCTTGTCCCTGCAGGTTCCCTGTCCCATCCCAAGGGCTGCCACCCCCAAACTGTCTTCTGCTCCTCTGCCCTGCCCAGATTTTATTTCAGAGGAAAATCTTTGGGGTCCACCTCGCAGCGAGGCTGGGGCTTGACGCACCCACCTCCCCACGCAGAGCGGCGAGCCCTGCACAGCCGCCGCACGTCGGCAGGACGGCTCCGCGCATTGCTGGGAGGCTTTATTTGTGTTACACATATCTTTCATAAATCCTCGCGAAGCCTCGGGCGGCCTGGGATGGAAACAACTCCGCCGGCCGGCAGCGAGCGTCGCCATCGGGCTGGGAGGAGGAAAACCTCCCCTCACCCCAAGCAGCAGCACCCTCTCACCGGGCCATCGCGGGACGTTAAATATTCAGTGGCAGCTCTGCCCTCACACGCTCGGCAATCCCACGGCTCCTGTTACGGCCGCTCTCCTTTAGCCAGAGACATCCATTAACTAATTTCTAATAACAGCAGCCTGCGTAAGTGCTGAACCAGCGCTGGCTGGCACGCGGGGGGACTGGAGGCAGCCAGGTTTGGCAGGGTGGCTAGGGGGGAGTTAGAGGCACCCAGAGCCATGGGCATGGCTGGGCTCAAGCCATCCGCTTAACCCTTCCCCTGCCCCGGCGAAGGTGGGCACCAGCCACGTGGCACCGGTGCGGGGACGTCTCCGGGGACAGGCAGCAACGCGCCTCGCCAGGGTTGTAGAAGGAGGCTTGAGAGCTGCTGCCCTGTAAGCAAACACGGTGCGGGCGGCTGGGGAGGGGGACAGGCAGCGCGGCCCCGCGGCATGGGGTGCAGTGCCCGCCGGTGGGGTGGGCATCCCGGGGGGCTGGGGTGCAGGCAGCGACTCAGAGCCTGCCTGCTCCCTCCCAGCCTCCAGTTGCTGCCTTTCCCCTTCTCCTGCTGGCACAAATGAAGCCATGCCTGCTTTATATCGTCCCCGCTCTTGTTTGGCATGTGACATCCACCTCCATCATTTCCCCCTCCCTCTTTAACTGGGCAGAGGGGATGCCCACGCCATCCCCACCGTGCCAAGATGTAGCTTTGCAGAAAATCAAAGCAGTGAGAAGGAGAGGAGGAAAAGGGAGCACAGATGTCCCCAAACCTCCCAGAGCCTGTCCCAGAGGGTCCGTGCACCCCGTAGCTGGCACGGGGCGGCTCCAGCCCCACGCAGCCAGGCCGGCCACACAGTGAGGAGCTGGCACAGGGACTGGTCCCCTCGCCGTGGCCAGGGGCTGCCTGGGAGACGGGTGGGCTAAGACCCTCCTTTCAGCCCCCCGAGCCCCCCAGCCGACGGTGCTTTCCCGGCACAGCCGGGGACGGTTTTGCCGCCAGCTCTGGTGGTGTCAGGCCTGTGCCTGGGCTCCAGCCGATTGCAAAACTGCAGCCGTGCGGTTTTCTCCAGCCAGCTGGAAAGTTTGACGCTGGATTCCCGGATGTGAGGAGCCTTCGGGGGAGCGCGGCGCAGCACGTCCCGCCAGCAGCATCCTGCCTCGCTGGTGGCGGGGAGCTGAGCGCCGTGCCGGCTGTGCCGTGTCGCAGCCCTCACCCACAGCCCACCACTGCGTGGTTTGCCTTCTCACTGAACCCCCCCAACAGCTGCCCTATTTTTTATCCTTCAGCCATGCTCACAGATCGAGCAGATTAATGCAAGCCCATAAAACCCCTCGGCCTCGAGAGTGTCCTGGTGCGGACGAGGCTGGCCAGGACCCAGCCACGAAGGAGTGGGTGCCGTGCGTGGCCGGGGTGTGCTCCGCTTGCCACGCTTGGTTTCTTTGCCCGGCCTCTGTGCCTGCTGCCTGCCACGGCCTGCCATTCCCAGGGCCAAGATGAAAGATGGCAGGAAGATGTGGTGGAGATAACGGTTAGATTTGCAGCCCAAGCAGTGTCGTCCCCCCCCCCCCACCACCACCGCAGCCTCTCAAGCAAGAAGCCTCCCGGCATTTGTCCTTGCTGGGAACACACCAGTGGGTGCCTCTGGTCCCTGGCACTGGCCATCCCACAGGCACGGCCCCAGCACCCTCCCAGCAGCCCCGAGACCCCCGCCATCCACCGTGACCCCATTGCCAGCATCGTGGTGGCAGAGTGGGGCACACTGGGGAGCAAAGGAAAGGTGCTGGGAAAGCTGGTGTTAGGAGTGGGATGCCTGCGGCTGGCGCAGCGGGCTGTGAGGACGCTGGGGTGATGCCTGCCCGAGGCCGTGCCCAGGGCAGGACCCTTCCTCCCCACAGGCACCCCCCCAGAGAAGCTCCCGATGCTGGCAGTGTGGTGCCTGGGCCCGGAGCCGCTGCTGGTGGGGGCAGCTCGTGGCCCCCCTCCCTCGCCCTTGACCGCCAGCTCCCTTGCGGCACACGCTGTCATGTGGCAGGGCAAAACAACAACAAGGGCTAATTGGTTAATGCGATTTCAAAACATGATTTGCAATTATAACTCGCCAGAGAGCATTCAATGATCCCGCACATTGGGAGAGTGGGTTTTTCTCCTTCGTTTGTTCCTGGAACCTCGAAACCAATTAACTTTACAGAAGCCAGAAGCAAAGCGCTGCTCAGCAGACCTGAAGGGTGGGTTATCTCTGTGCTCAATCGCTTCCCTGCCAAGCACTGCTCCAGGAACCAAGGACCTGAGGACGAGCTCCGGGGTAACCCTGACGCTTCTCCCCTCAGCACCACAGGGCTTGGAGGGGGGTCCCAGGCCCCTCAGCTCCTGCAGCCCCATCCAGGATGCCCGTCCCACGCAGGACCAGCTTCACGCCCAAGCAACTCCCAGCCATCAAGCGTGGCTGCTTGGAAGAGCTTGAGGGCAGAAGGACACCTTGAGACGTAGGAGATGGGGACAAACTGTCCTTGGCACGGGGGAGACTGCCCCCTCTCTCAACTCCGGAGGTGGAGGTGCCAGCAGAAGCCCACTCATCTCTGCCACCCGGGCAGGGCAGCCGTGTCCCTGCTGGCAGCAGCCACAGCCCCACGGGGCCAGGGGCTTTGCTCCTGTGGGCTTGCTGTCCTGCAGCAAGGGCTTAAACACCTTTAAGGCAATTAAGCAAGGACTTATACGCAAATACAACCATAAACCCAAGCTGGGCGAGGAGTGCATTGAGAGCAGCCCTGCAGAGAAGGACTTGGGGGTGTTGGTGGATGAAAAACTATGAGTCAGCAATGTGCGCTCTCAGCCCAGAAAGCCAACTGCACCCTGGGCTGCAGCCAGAGCAGGGGGGGCAGCAGGGCAAGGGAGGGGATTCTCCCCCTCTGCTCCGCTCTGGGGAGACCCCCCTGCAGTGCTGGGGCCAGCTCGGGGGCCCCCAAAATCAGAAGGACACGGAGCTGCTCGAGCGGGGCCAGAGGAGGCCACGAAGATGCTCAGGGGGCTGGAGCAGTTCCCGCATGGGGACAGGCTGAGAGAGCTGGGGGGGTTCAGCCAGGAGAAGAGAAGGGTCTGGGGAGACCTTAGAGCGGCCTTGCAGTGCTTAAAGGGGTTACAGGGAAGCTGGGGAGGGACTATTTATCAGTGGGTGTGGTGATAGGATGAGGGGTAATGGTTTTAGACTGAATGAGGGCAGATTTAGATCATATATAAGGAAGAAATTCTTTCCTGTGAGGGTGGTGAGGTGCTGGCCCAGGGTGCCCAGAGCAGCTGTGGCTGCCCCCTCCCTGGAAGGGTTCCAGGCCAGGTTGGACGGGGCTGGGAGCCCCCTGGGCTGGGGGAAGGGGGCCCTGCCCGTGGCAGGGGGGTTGGAACTAGGTGACCTTTAAGTTTCCTTCCAACATAAACCATTCTATGGTTCTGTGATTCTATGACTTAGCAAGGACTTTAATACCTTTAAATGCTGTTTAAACACCTTTAAAGCCAAACAAGCCCAAGTGGCTATGATGCTCCCAAAATGTCTGGCACCCAGTGCCTCACTCTGGGCCAGCTCCTCTGAGTCTTGGTCTGTTTCCCCAGTGTGCCCAGTTGCTGGTGTCTGTTGCTGCCCACTGGAAAGCTGGGTATGGAGCTGGCAGCACCTTCTCTCGAGCGAGCAGAGAGGGGCTGGGTACCAGCTGCTGGAGGGATGCTCTGGCAGCTATCCCTCGGGAT